AAGAGTGGTGTGAAAGTCTCTGGGCTAAAGCTTCCTTAAAATAAGTTAACCTTTGCGGTAGTGGAGAATTTTCAGAGGGAACTATATATTCTGCTATTCTTAAACTTGGTAGCACTATTAACAGAAAAGAATACCAATAAAAACAAAACCCTGAAAACTTGCACTTTGTAACAGTTCTAGAACTAGACCCAAATATTCATCAGTAACTATTGTAAACCACAGAAGCACTTGCTGTGTTTATTGGTTTTTTAACAGTTCATAACATCCTGTAAGAACAACTTCTTTTGGTCAGAATTTTTTTTGTGTGGTCACAAATTCAAGACTAGTGTTTTATCTGGGAAAACCTCTGCAAAAAATCTTCTGCTGTTTTTGGGTCAATTGTGGATTTACAGGACTCTCTCCAAAATGATTAGTTTTAAAAGTCAAATTTTTTGTCAACCAGCCCCTCCCCAGACCAGTGACAAGAGAGAGACACCAATTTAAAAGCTGTATGGAATCAATTTTCAATCACAAAACACTGAGAATTTTAAATTAGTGGAAAATAAGTACTCCATCATGTTGTTTAAAGACCTGTATTGTGAATGAAGAGGTACCAACATTCTCATATGTGAGTTTTACGCTGTTAGTTAACAGTGGGATTCTTTACACATCTATTTTCTGGTTTGCAAGCACAAAGATACAAGGAAAAAAAAAACAGTACACTCAGGGATGAATATTTTAAACTTTATGCTACTGCACAAACCACAATTGTGCACGCACGTACCACCTGTAATGTGCTTGTGTAAATGGTGAAATGTCTGTGTACTGGTTGGGTATGAAAAAATTGTAAAGACATCACTGAAAAATATGTTGGTTTATGTTCTTCTTCCACATTTCTTATTTAAAAATGAGAAAATTAAATACAGCAAATTACATTAAAATTCTGCTACAGCTACAAATTCAAGGCACGAAACAAAGTTATCATCGTAATCTTCAACCTCCCACACTCAGAGGGTCTGATCTAGGAAACTCTGCACGTGCAGATTGTCACACTGGGCCCAGTGATTATTCCAGACGACTAATTACGCTGGTAAATGTGTACCTTCATTGCAATGAGTCCAGTTCCACCATCAGATATGCAGGCACAGCTCCAATTACTTCAATGGAAGTTGCATGGAGGTATCTGAAGGCAAAATTGAGCACTTTAGGTGAAATTTTTAAAGATGGCCTCTTATTTTAAGGACAGATATGAAAGGATTAAGATATATCACCTAGTGACCGAAGTCAAAACCTCAGATATCTTAATCCTATCATACATGCATGAAATAGGCTGAAGATACAAAATCAGAGGCAAAACTGAGACCCCTTTAAAAATTTAGCCCTATATGTGTATGGTGCACAGATTACAGTTACTCTAAAAATTAAGCCTTTCATTGTGTGACTCTTAGGTGCTTCACCCTGTAAACTGCACATTATACTAAATAATTTATATGAAATAATGTTACTCTGTATTACTTACAATACTTGAGCAAAAATATTCTACTATGTAATGAGATGCTATTTTGGTGACTACACATGAAAATCACTGCAGTCAAGGTTGGGTAAATACCCAACCTTAACTCTGTAATTCTTGAGTTTTGTTATGTTTAAAACCTTAACAACATGCTTATGTTCTGGTTTTCATTATTAGATATCATTATATAAAATAACATGAGAACAATTAATGAGGACTGTGAAGTAAATCTACATTATCTAATGGAGAAATTTGGTTTTGTGCATGGAGTAAAATGTCATTTAGCACCAACTAGCTGTTAATTTATTTCTGTGCAAGCAACTGTGTGAAATGTAAGTCTGCTGTAGAAAATACAACTGTGTTCTTTCCAGCTTTGTTTACCATGCACATCTGAATGTATCTTGTAACTAGCTCAATTCTGTGATGGAAAATTTCATCTGCCTGAGAAGCAGCCAGGTATACTCTTTACATGTTAAAAAGAAGCAGAAATAAAAATCTAACACTGGAACAAAAGCACATCAGCAGAAGGTGTAACAACCATAGGTAACACCACCATACGATCACATTACTTTCTTGAAACACAGCTGGTTACCACAGGTAATGAAAATTTGACATAAACAATACTTCAAGAGCTTAACCTGCTTCTTAGAAAAATATGGAACTACTTTATTTTAGGACATCGGTATTTACAGAGTGCTCTTCCTGGAGCTCTTGAGAGGTAGGACTAAACAATAATTTACAGATCAAAGCACTGGAATCCCAAGATCTCTAAATGCTACTGTGGCCCTAGAATACAAAATACGGAGATTTACTGTAAGTGTCTCAAATTAGTGATACAACTACCATCAATATCAGTTGTGCCAACATGTTAGTCTCTTTGGTGTCAGAAGTTACCTTTCAAAGAGCTATAACTCCCCTCTCTTCAAGAGCTGCTGATTCAGATGTGAGATCAATCAGTATAAGAAGTAATTGAAAGAAGAGAACTCACTGAGCAGACTGCTTAGATAAGGCGTGCAAGTTTAGAGCTAAAGCTTTTACTACTACTAAACCATGTGAAGGCTGTACAACAATGATGTACATAAACAATCAAGCCACGCAGAAGAGAAAAGACAGACTTACGAATGGAATCAAAATGTTATACTTCGATTTCATTAATATATTTATAAATCGGTCTGACTTCTGTAAGCCCGTGTGTACTGGGTCTGGATGGGATGGAGGCAATCCTCTTCACAGCAGCCCGTATGGTGCTGAGTTTTCGATTTGTTACTAAAACAGTGTTGATGAAAACACACTGATGTTTTAGCAATAGCTGAGCAGTTCCTGCACAGCCCCAAGGCTGCCTCTGTTTCTCATGCTTCCTGCCCCCCAGCAAGTAGGATGCAGATTGAGAGGGGAAACAGCCAGGACAGCTGACCCCAAGTGCCCAACGGGATGTTCCGTACCATATAGCATCATCCTCATCAGTAAAACTGAGAGTAGTCTCTCCAAGGCAGCTGTGGCTCAGAGCCTGGCTAGGCATTGGTCTGCTGGTGGGAGGTGGTAAGTACATCACTTTTGCATCGCTTGGTGGTGGAGTTTGTGGTTTGTTGTTTGGTTGGGGTTTTTTCCCCTCCATTTTTTCCCTTTTCTTATTAAACTGTCTTTATCTTGGTCCATGAATTTTCACTCACTATTCTCTTCCAATTCTCTCCCCCATCCCACTGTGGGGTGGTTGGAGGGTGCTTATTTGCTGGCTTGGGTCAACCTACCATATCAAGCTACCAAGAATTAACTGCCCAGTGTAGTTATGAATAGTCTCCTGTCAAACAAACAAATGTTCCCCAAGCTATTACTTAGTTTATCATTCAACTCACTGCTAAATCCCATCTGGCTTCCACTGTGAATGGGATTCAAAGGAAGAAGACATGGTCTACAAAGATTAAGACCATCTCCCATCTCATAGGCTAGCAGGTCCAGCAGCTCCTCCTGGGTCTCTTCCTCACATGTCATTCAAGAAACATCCTTGGGAAGGCTGTGCACCCCGTACTGTAATTCATAACAGATTTTACAGGTTTCTAAATACGCTACATGCTGGAAGTACAACTAAACATCTGGTTTTCCAATCTTTGCAGAGGTGATCATGGTATCAGTAAAAGAACAATTTAACATACACACATAATAGAAGAGTTGTTGTTTTACTCACAAAGTAATTAAAAAGCTTCCTTGCATTTCTTGTAATAAAAGAAGTTTTGATTAACATTCAAGGTAGTTTTTGGTACATGTTTCCATCATAAGAAAGTGTGGGGTTTTTTTTATTTACAGCCTATAAAATAGATGCTGTTCTTCAATTGTCTAAAATATGCAAATAATATGCTGCTTGAAGAAGGTAGGGAATCAACTGAAAAATACAGCTACAAATCTCATTTTGAGCCTGCAACCTATGCTCAAAGACAATTAGGACAGGCTAACAGTTGTTTTTTCTTAAAGGAGATGGCCATTTCATAATTTTTCTAAGACATTATCTGTTTACTAAGAATTTATGTACTAGTCATACTCCTTTAATATGTCAGCATTATCGTAAGGTTTATAGAGAAAAAAAAAAGTATGGGCACATTCCAACCCCTATCTGCTGTTTAACTGATGGAGAAATTAGACCTCGCTAGAATCCAAACTTTTCAGAATATATGCTACTTTTTCAATTATGTACAGAATAACAGAAAAATACGCAATACCCTATACTAATATATCAAATATAGTAGGGCAGAAAAAGTTTTCTCTTTTTTTTAGTGCTTTAGTAGATAGACAGAATGTATCATATGGCATATTTCTGTTATCCAGAGAACGTGAATCTAACAATGCACAAAATGTCACTCTAAAATAAGTTCAACCTGCGCTGGTGTCAACAACATATCAATGCTATGAAAATCAGCGAGAGTCACAAAAGCTGCACTAACTGTAGTGACCAGTGCAAAAGAAACTGAAGTAATTTTAAGGTGTTAAGTCCCCTAGTTAAGGTTTGAAATGGTGACTAAGCTCTATGTTCTTTGCAAAATTTCCTAAATGGCAACGTATGTGGGCTCATTTAAATAAGGATTGTACCACAGGCAGCAATATTGAACTAGCAAGGAACAGCAAAACATGCTATAGCTGCCTTTCTAGCTCCAGCTTTTAATTCCTGAGCTTAACTGTTTAGGTATCCACCTCTTTCACATTACAACAATCATCAAAGAGACTACATTATGTAAACTTTGGAAAGCTGTGAATCTTGACAATAAATAACATCTAAAAAGAACCCACTCATACATTTGAAAAAAGGGATTAGAATTGTTTTAGCACTGAAACTACCTCCTGTGTAGCAGTGTTACCATCACCAAATTCCAAGGAAAAGCACCTTATACCCAAAATGGAACTGCTGTACATGCTAGACATTCGTCTCCAGCAAAATATCACTTTCTCTGAAGTGGAGGCTTGTTGCAAGAAAGCAAGAAAGGAGAAGGGAAATTTTGTCAAAGTCTATGAAAATACACCTTTATGCTTACAAAAAGAACAACAAATTCTTAAATGCCATACAGAGATAGGGATTTTTAGAAGAGAAATAAACATGGAAACTGGAATATATTCAATTCACCTGAGGTCAATGAAATCTAATATTTCAGAAAGATTATAATTCCAAGCATACTGTTGGTGAAAAGGATTCAGAGAGAAGTCATGAGAATTATACAAAGTCCGGGATGCAGTCTTGCAGAAACAGATTTGGGAAATTCCTAAAAAGAAAGTAACTGATAACCATACTGGTGTTTCCTAGACTATTCAAAACCTATGGATGTCTTAGCACTGGCTATACCATTTTCTGTAATGGTAAAGTCAGCAACAACCACAGAGTTTGCTCTTAAGGCACTTCATGTTTCTGTTCAAGATGGTTAAGACAGAAATAAGGTGTAGGAAAACAGTAAAATTTCAAAATCCTCCAAGTCTTACCTGCACTATTAAATGTTGGAGTAAGCTAAGTAACAAGACAAAATTAGCATCAAGATTTCTGACAGCTGTAACCCTTACGACCAGATACTGCACATCCTTTATGATGAAAACTTTAAGGGAAAAATTCTAGAAGTCTAAAATGACAGAAAGATCTGCTAACACAAGGAAGCTACTGATAAGCAAGTTGAAGTGAAAATTTATCTCATAAAAACACTTTCATAGTAACAGTGTTTCTGGGGCACAAACAGAAGATTCTGGCAGGGCAACAGGGAACTGCACTTCTTCCAGAAGCCAACAGAGATTTGACCTATTCTTCACTCTCTAGCGAAGAGTCTAGTCTTCATACTAAGAAGGAAAGTTGTATAATGACAAACAGCCTTTGGAATTATATGCACACACAAAGTATACCTGTGGTAGGTTTCATACCTTTAAAAATCCACAGCATACTCTACTGTGAAATTTAAAAAAAAACACATAAAATTTTGAAACCTTGAGCAGATGAATGTTTTGAAATCTAAGTTTAGTAACAATGAAAAATCAATTTGTTGCCAAGATAACAACTTGTTACCACTTCTCTGCATATACAACTTCAAAAAGTACTTATTGGCACCACGCAGATAGTGAGGGAGATGGGCTCTGAAGCCTGCTCTGCAGCCCTGGTGCCTGTACCTGACTAGAACATACTGTGGCTCCTTTAAGCTCATGTGCACGGGTTTCCTTTCCATGGGAGCTCATACCGCTCTGGAGCTCCTCCAAAATCAGAGTTGACGCATGAGCAAAGCACATACTCAGGCCACCAAGCTGGGAAATTAACTTGGATCCTCCCGTACACACAGAGGCATGGTGGCCATCTTGAGTTTAATAACTCACTCCAGAAGGAAGATAAGCCAATATACAAATCTGAACGGGCTGATGTAACACTGAATTCTGCAAGTATGAATGCATCAGTGGGATTCACCCTTTCAGAAAGTAAAGAAGTTGTAGGGGATATTCTGTTCCAAGTTCAACTCACAGTTTGGCTTTGACCCACCCAAACCTGTATTCAGACCAGAATTTCCCAAGAGCTGCAGGACTCAGGACTAAAGGTCATAAAAAGTTAATCTGTGCTATTAATGTTGATGCAGCACAGTATTATGCTATTAACCTTAAAAGGGATTCATTTTTTCATTTTTTCTCTCCAAGCTTCATTCTGATATTGAGATAACTCCTACTTCAACAAAAAGAAAAAAAAAAAAAAAAAAGGACTTCTCTGCAATGTTGCCTCAATAGGGACGTGACCATCTACACTTTTCACCTTGTGGACAGCCTTAGATACCTACTGTTTGAGCTTACTGAGTCACTGGTGTCAGCCTGGACTTCACAGGAGGTCAGATTCATTGGAGGTGAGCACTGTATGTAGGGCTAGAAGCCTGCTCTACAACATGACCAACTTTCTGAGTGTCAAGGGTTTGTCATGCAAATAAAACACAGCTCATTCCTCAGAATCTCTCTGCATATGAAGGATAGTTTCCAGCCATCATCATCCTGAACTATTCCCAAGCCCAGATCTACAAAACATCCTTCACAGATGTCAAGAGCCACGGCTGCACCATTAGAAGCAGATGTTGTGCAGAGCTCAAGAAGAGCTTAGGTAAAATCTTACTCTTCGAGTGAACTTTAACTCAATCGAGCAACTTCTGAGCCATGTAAAATACCATGACTACTCCTGTTAAATCCAGTATAATGCATTTCAATAGGAAAATTAGAAATCACAAGAGAAACCATTTTCACATTCTAAAGAGGGGCATCAGACAGCATTTAGATATCTGAGAAACAACCTTCTCAGTGGTTAAACACCGTGAACTAAATACTATATACTGACACGGAATATATTGAGGGAAAAGCCAGTATCAACAGTTGCCAAACATTTGTAAAAAATTACATAAATATTTACCTTTTGTAGAAGAGTTAAAAGTCTCTTGCTCTTCAATGAATTAAATGCACGGAATGATGGAAACAGAAAAAGAAATCAGCAAATTTAAAGTTAGATAAAGAAATATGTTACATGTGACAATGGCATGTACAGTAGGCAGTACTCCAGCATATGCAAAAGTAATGTAGAAAATTAAAATGATAAACCATGACAAATAATAAAGCCTATGACTACTTCTTTGAAATTAACAGGAACAATGAAGTTACTGAGATCCAGATTGTGGACTCTTTTAAGTATTCTGCTCAAGAAGTATTGTCACACTCAAATTTATGAACAACATGAAAATCTTAACATTGCTTTAAGTATCACTCTCGCTTCTGAACCACAAAGCCCTGATTTAGATTCTGAAGCCTTTTCTGCAGTAGTGAGAGTTAATTTTCTATTAACTGGAATCTATAATACTCAATCATAACCACTGGACTATTGAAAAATGATCTTTAAGGAAAACATAAAAGATTATTAGGCTTGAACTCATTTGCAAGAGTTAGCAATGCTGAGAAAAATACTCTCTAGAGTGAGCAAAGATTCCACAAGCTGCCTCAAAATACGCAGTGCCACCTAATAATTTCAAAATAAAACCAGAAATATGAAGACAGAACAAACAACACTAAAAGACTAAAATCTAAAATTGAAATTACTTTTTCTTTTGCCACTCAAGTTTTATGTTGATGGATCTGAAAAAAGGTTTTCACTGAAAGGGTTTGATCTTTACTCATTACTTAATCTACAAGCTCACCGCAATGACATTTCAATAATTGAGCACATATACACAGAACAGTTTTCACTAGCTGATTTTTTTTTTAGAATCTTAAGTTGGTTAAACATAAAAAAGATATTGCAACTCAAATGTATTATTTGACAACATACGGATTTTCTATACGAAATTCTGATTCTACTTTGTTTAAAGGAAACACTGGACATCAAAATGCTTCATTCCTCTGTGATGTGTCTGCCACTGGAATTGTACATATATAATGCCCATGAAGTTTATACAAGTAACCTCCATTCAGTACCATCTCCAACACAGCTTTCGCTCGTGAAACAGCAGTCCACACGCACGCGTGCACTTCACCCTGTGTGCAAGCTACGCACAAAGCTTATGCAGTTTTTTCTAACATGAGCTAAGATGCACCAATACTTAATGCTAGTCCCAATTCTGCCTTTCTAAAGGTCTCTGCATAAGGCCTGTTGCCATAAACAGATGCCACTGGAAACAACGTACAACCACACTGGTTCAGTTATGTTTACAGATGTTCTTTACATGTAAATAGGCGGCTGGTCATCACAAACCTTACTCTCATTATAGGACTTCAGAAATATGAAACCACATTGCTGAGGCTATGAAAAAGAAATCAATCTGCGAAGAGTCAAATAAAAGCAGATAGAGGGAGAAAGACCTGTTTTGCATTAATTAGCTCTTAAAGACAATTTCCGTACTACAAACAATCATTACACATTTCTCTTGCTGGTTCATAAATTTCAATCGTACATAACATGGTTCTTCTTCTTCACTTGATAGATTTCCTAATATCATCCCTCATATTATCTACTGCAGCTAAAAAGGAGTGTAGAAATATGCTACAAATCTTACGGCTTTATTCAGTTCCTTGATCAATACAATGATTAACCACTGTACAAAATTGTAGAGACCCACCCTCAATTTCGAGTCAAGCAACAATTCCTGTGACGTTTTATAGTTGCAATGACACAGGACGGACCGAGTAAAGATTGCAGAAATATGCTTTATACAAAAGTATCATTGAGAAAATGTGTAACTACATAACAAAGTTGTTATAAAACATCTGAAAAACAACGTCAATGCAGAATCCCCACCCCTCGTCATGATTTGCACTGTTCCACTCAAACATGATGCAAATAATAAAACCACCAAAGCAAATCTCTTATAGCTCGACACAGGATGACATATTAAGAACACAGCATTGTCCTTACCATGGCTTACAATTTCACTGCTTAGTCACTGAGCCAGGACATTTTCATATTATTAGGTCCTTTTATAAAATTATCAGTTAAACAAAGAAATAAAAAATGCTTCCTAAGTAGCGCAAGTTAGGGTAATGACTACTAAATTGTGACTTTTTGAAAACACACACAGACACAGCCTAACTTTCAATATTCAAGCATCTCAAGACCTTTGGTTGCAATAACATTCCAGTGTGTCTTGCACTCTAGCAAATACTCCCGACAGGTTGCAAAGAAAAGAAATACAGCCATGTCTTGCTTGAATATCACTGGGATTAAAATAAAAATCACACTGCCTAAAAATTACATAAGCCTACAATCTCAACTGTAACCACTTTTAAAAGTCTGCATGTACTGGAGTTGCTACAAATATTATTTAGCTAGAACTGTTTCAATCTAAAATAACTACTTCCCTCCCCACTCCAAAACTAGGCAAAGCTGCTATCACCCTTAGAACATAATCACCAATAACTTGTTGTTTTGTTTTGTCTTTTTCCTGCTAGTGTGCATAATTATGCTGTTTGGAGGTTTTAGTCCTTAAATTGGACTTTTTACTCTATGCTTTAGATTTTTTTTCTCTGTTCCTGATGATGGTCGTACCAACCCCATTTCTCTAATGGAACAGGGACCACGACTTTGGTCTTCTCAGCAACAATTACTTCTATTAGATGGGGTTTTTTTTAAATAAAGTGTGTCTACTAAGAAGGACCTTTTAAAATTACCTTGACTTTTTATGATTCTCAAACTAGCGGCCAGAGCAGTAACTAAGACAACATCATCTGGTAGTGACAGGGAAACAACCATTTTTTGTTCCAAACTTGACAATGACAAAATGGAATGTCCAAGATGCAATGTTAGTCCTAGAAGTCTTATTAGCACGGATATGATAATTTACAATGGAGAGCTAAAGATTAAAGATTGAGAGTAAAAATCTCATCTAAGATTAAGAGTTAAAATATCACTCTGTTTCTCGAGATGAAAAAACTACCAGTCTCTTATTCCTTCATTAATTCCCATGTGTTCTCTAATGAGAACTTTAAAGAGTAATAAAATTACTTTACTGGATTATTCCATGCCTCCTGAATATGCAAACAGTAAATAAAAAACCCATTCTTGATATACAGACATTCAATCTTTTTACAGCAATTACTGTAATTTGGAAAACAGACATAGATTCATAGAAGTACATATTTAGATGTGTAGACAACCCTCCCAACACAAAAGAAGCTGTAGAGAGTGTAGAGAAGTACTTTACTATAAAAATAATAATTACGGTATATCATACAGGATTTCCTTAAAACGCAGGATGTCAATGCTGACCACCCAGAAGTAGTTTTATTTATAAATGAAGAAAATGCAAAGAATTTTAAAATGCTCCCTGGAACATTTGTATGTTGCACTAGATTTTGACATCTATATCCATGGTGACTGTAAAGTTAAATCAATAAGGACACAATTTGGTTCCAAGTACAGTTAATGGAAATATTTACAGACCTCAATATCCTTTGGATTCAATCCTACATTAGGGTCAGATCACTTCTAGTCACTCCATTTGACCTGGATACTCATTTGAAAGGGATGTAAATCAGAGCCTTACATCTTACAGTCTTACAGTGTCACTGAACTTAATTTCTTACACAGTATAAAGTTTATACATACTATCATATTTATTTCAGAAGATGCTTAGAAAACCATTTAAAAATCTTTTATAAAATCTATTCAATTTAGTACTTCTCTGCAAATACATTATCAGCTTGAAGAAAGTGTTAAACATGGGTAAGATCAGAAAAACTCCCTTTCAAAAGGACAAGCCAGTCAGTTAGACAAAACCAAAGTACTGTGTAGAGAAGGATATCTCTTTAGCCTTCGTTTCCATGTGCTGCAATACAGTCATAATGACATAGGTGGTATGATAACAACAAAGTAAACGATATGTCACATCCCACTTGTACATTTATAAATAAGACGCAAGCATATCAACCACAAGTGAAAATAAGAGTTCAGTGAAACAGCATTACTTTACAGATGTTCATGGTATCAACAGCTTCCTATGCCTAGAGTAGCTTTAGCCTTCTGCTCAACTCTCACTTTTTCTTTCCTCTTCTGTATACATCCCATCTCAACTTATTTTCTTGGTAAGTTTTACATTAATTTCGAATGTCTTTAAAAAAACATAAACTAGTATTTTATTCTCAACACACCAGTTATCAAGAACAGCAGAAAGATGACAGATGAATATCCAAAGGAAAGCCAACTTAAAATTGATTCATCACTATATATAGTACCAAGTTCTGAAATTGCAGAAAGAAATTTGAAATTCATTACTTATTACATTTCCCTAAAAGCTTCCAACTTAATAAAATGCAGAAACAGAAGGTGTAAATGTAGTTTGCAACTATTTTATAATCGAGACACTCCTAGCTTTACTACAAAACAAAACAAGACGATTCAAACATGAAGTTTAAAATGAATAAAAGTCTCTTGTGTTAGTATATAATCATTCAGAATAAATACACGTATAAAACAAGAACACATTTTTATATGTGTTAATTGAAGATCTAGTATGCCATCACAGCTCAAAGCCATAAAATTAGTGCAAGCAGATTGCATGTTAATGTAAGCCATCACACAAATAACCCCCTATGGTAATCTATCATGATAAGAAGGTCACGGTCAGCAACATTATTTATTAAAGACAGCGTTCTGCCAACAGTTCTGGAAAGCACTACAATGTTTCATCATTAGAAGCATTTCTTTAATTTCCACAGAGAAAAAAACCTTGTGATACACGGCAATCTCTGTTGTTGCTTGTAGTTAATGAGAAAACAGGCTTTTTAAAGACAGAAGAAAACCTGAATGAGGAAACATTACCCATTGTGCCATTTCATTTGACCATAATAGCTCACACTCATACTCTGTGTGCAGTATGTTGCTAGAGAAGGAAACAGTAATATTCACACATATTTGACATTAGGATGTAAAAACCATCTTCCACAACCATTAGGTCTACATTGTCTTTTTCAGAAAATAGCAGCACCCTTTGATCAGTTCATTCTTAAGAAGGAAAGAGCTGGTGGGCTGTGCTTTCACATTCCCCATGGTGATTATTTTCATTCTTTAGTCACTGAACTATCAACTCCAGGAGAAAAACCATAAAAGGGTACTAGAAAATTAAGGCAATTAAACCATGTGTAATAATCTACCAGTTAAACTCTAATGGATTTCTCAGACTACAAATCCACTTTCATTCTCTTCTATTCCTTTATTGGTAGAATTATAGCATTGAACACATAGTTATGAAAGTAGTAAGTAGAAAAAAAAAAAAGGTGATAAATCAAAGAGTTTGAGCTATCATAAGCTCATTATTTGATACCTTGCTCTATACTGCCACTTCTTACTGGAACTTGCGGTAGCTGTCTTCCCCTGCGACTGCTGAAGGATGTGTCTGCAGAAGGAGACTGTGTGGGACTTCCTTGTTGATGTATTCTGCAAAAGAAATGAAGACAAAAGGAAAATAACCAAAATTAAGAAAATTTTTATGTTCTAAAGTTTAAACACGTATTAAGTTGCATACAGCGAAGATGGGTTTGACGAGGTTTGCATTTGGTGTATTCCATATGCACACAGTCAGGTCCCGATACCTAGCAAACTCACATTTATTTTCTCTAACTCCCTTCAACTAAGGAGAAATATTTTCCTTTGCTTTGATGTTTTTCTTTGTTTTAATAAAGTACTAGTCAAAAACCACTGAACAAAAAGCAGTTTTCCAAGAACCATTTATGATTATGACTCACAATTGATATATGTTTTCTTGCACTGGTACAAGGGCAATAGAAAATGTCACCTCTGTATTTTGACTTTTGTATCCCTTTGTGCTGATGCAATCAATAATTGCACTAGGCCATGGAGAAATGGACAGTATCTATTCCTATGGGATAACATGGTGTTCTTCCCTGAACTCAAAGAAGGAAAAAGACTTTTAAACTTGGTATTGGGGGGTGGGGTGTGTGTGTGTGTGAAGAACGTACAAGATTTTTAATATTCTTATCTAAGCAAATATCCTAAACCCCTTTGGCTGAATTCTAGCTAGCACTATTTTGAGTACCTTGGCTACTTGATTTCTTATACATAGATGCAGCATCTGAGCGTAACACATCAAACACCTTTGGAACTCTGGTAAGTTTTAATTGAAAATAAGTAGGGCCACCTCTAATAACTAAGGAAAAAGTTTAAGTAAAACAAAGACAAGAAGAAGCAGACCGCTAAGAGGTAAAGCCTATTATTCGATGCCCTTGCCAGTTACAAGAATATCACACTGATTATAGTGGATAAGAACTGTTCATCTACTACACTAAGGTTGCAAGTAGATAATTTGCAATTTTATGGAACACATTTGTGGAAGTTCAAAATACAGTCGTTTTTCACACTACATAGATCAACTGACTTTCTCTTGGCCTGTAAGATGAGAGTTAGCTGTGTGAACAGCACAAGATTTCTTGCACAGTCTTAAAGCAAAATAGTTTGATAATTTTCATACAGATACATAACAAAACACAACAATGGAAGGACAAAACACAGCCAATTTTTTACTCTTACGTTGCATAATCATTGAAGTTCAACAGCAAGAAGTACCATCTGGATGGTGAAGATAGGTGGTGTAAAGGATATGGGAGAAGTGTAAATACCATGAAGAGAGGATAAACTACAGTGCCAGAATGAGTGAATGCGCCACGTATGCTCAGGAAAGTACAACACCACACTGACACCTGGGAGGCAGAACATGAAAGCTGTGCTGTACACATAATAGCAACCTTGTCAGAAGTGGAGAAGGTGGCGCCGACCCTCCAGGCACTAGGTGATGTACAGAGCATAAGGGTCTGATACTAGAGTGCTCACTCGACCTTGAGCGAGCATGATGTTTTCCCCTAATGACTGGCTGTTCAGTTGTTCGTGGGGTTGGAAGTCCCCTTCTAGAAAGACATGGTAGCAGACCCCTAAAACATCAGGGCCAAAAAGAAACTGTTCAGTTGTTAGCTCCAGGAACACCTTCCCATGCCCCCCTCCATCAAAAAACATTGTAAATCCTGGCTGCAGGACCAGGGTTGACATTTCCAATCAAAGTTATTAATTCTGAATGCAAATCCATTTTCAAAATGATTAACTGCAGAACACTCACCACTGCAGATACACATGACCCTAACTGTGGAACTGTTGAACTGCATTGCACATAGCGGACTGTTGGCCAGAAACTCTAGTTGCATCTTAAACACAGTAAACACAAGCTAACAACATGTATGACATAAGTAGTTGCACAGAGAAGGCTATGAATACTGTTTTACCACAAAGCATTTCTGTTTCTAAAACATATCTTTTATCTTCATTAAAAATATTAACTGGATTTCAATTAGTGTCCTAAAAAAGGACAATATGTAAGCACATATATCATTCCCTTGGTTTCCTGAGGAGTTGGAAATAAGGAATCTATTTAAGTATCTTTCTGCTGTAAGCCCTAAGCCAGAAATACAGTTCTGAAGGAACTCTAATGAAAATACAATTAAAATATGCAGTAAAATGATTAATTGTGCTAGTATAATGATTGGTATATAATTATTGGTAGTTTAATAATTACATACACTGCAAGTATAAGACCACCTGAAACATTTTGTTTGGAGAGTGATAAAGTATTCTAACTGTGCCTTTTTACTCTTCCTTGCTTTCCCAACAGTGTAGCATTTTGTAAATAGTACATATATATCTGCTGTTATTTCAGAAATTTCCATTTCCTGTGACATCATTTCACTCTGAGTTTTTAATTTTTTTTTAATTTTTAATTTCTGCAGACTTATGAAGTCTCTCTACACACACCCAACACAACTTTGTCACAAGATACAGCCAAAGTACCCAAGGGACTGTCTAGTTCATACGACTACCACATACTGAAGTAATCCTAAAAACAAAAGCACATGTGTAACATGTAGATGCCTACCAAGGATAACAAACAGGTTTGGTTTCAAAGCCATTTCATCAGTAACAGTTTATGTGAAAGTCCAGACACAATGCAACAAAACCAGGATTCTGTTGCCCTTGCTGTATTCCCTCTCAAACCCTAGTGCTTCTTTAGCTTAACATTCTTGCAGCAACTGATTCCCCTGATTCTAAAAGACATTTAACATAACAAAGATGAGCTGAGTTCTGAAAATCCCTGTTTCTCCATGATGTCTGTAACAAGAATCCATGCCAACTATTGCACGCAACCAGTGTTTAAGCATCTGTTGTTTAATGTCATAACATCCATAAGGTAAACAGATACCTTGATACCATGCTTGCTTTTACTGTGAATGAATGCTCCAGTCTAACAGTCAACATGTTCTCAGTTCCGATTTTGCTTATTTTAGAGGCTAAACAGCCTGGAAATGTCTGAGAGCCCAGTGAAGCACTACGAAGAGTCTGCCCTGCCATTACAGAACAGACACTTTACATGAGACTCAGAAACTTACCTCCTGCTCTTTCAGTAATACCCTTTTTACAGACCTGTTCCCTTCCACAAGAGAAAGACAGAGGATCTGCTTAATTAAAATGAAGACAAATCAGGCTTAAGACTTGCATTACTTTGGGTATTACCCTGAGCTGAATATGCTTCTTGGGGTGCAAATGAAAATACAGCTAAAAGGGAACAGGAATAAAACTAGAATGGAATAAAGGGCTTGCTGGCCTAGGAGGAAAACCAGCTGTGGAAAGGAAGAAGTCTGCAAATGGCCAATCAGGAGAATGAGACAAAAAGGAACAAGCATGGGAGACAAAAGCTAGTGTATGACTGAGGAAATGAGACATAAGTGAGGTAAGCATGGAGAGGAAAGGAATTTGGGAGATAAATGATACCTGGTGAGCAGTGAGGCTGCAACGAGTGTGTATGTGTGTATCTCATCCCCTGGTTCTTTACAGAGGAAGGTACCACTGCAAGCAGCAAACCTACTAATTCAAGTGCCAATGGTCTACAGGGGAATCCTACAAGTTCCAGCTCTGACTGCACACAAGAAAATTCAAATTCCTTTCTCTTCAGACTGATGTCTCACAGGCACATACTAAATAAAACTTGTTGCCACTTATGGAACAATAAAGAAAAACTGAAAATAAGAGAGCATCACCAATTCAATGCACCCTTGGTACAGGGTCCTATGTAGAATATAGCAAGTACAGTTAAAGACTGTATGCATCATAACATATATGACAGGCAACCTCAAATCTGGCATTTCTGGGGTGATCAGTTAGGGCTGAATGAAAACATTTTATAATTAGGATGAACCAATTTTTACCAGTCTTGTTCATTCATATGATAACAGAAAATGTTTTATTTTGACGTAATCAGTTTTACTCCTTCAGAAGGCTTTACTGAATCCCATCTTGAAGGTATATCATCACATTAAGAGAACACTTAGGCTCTGTAAACTATCCTGAAAAGGTTTGTTTGTTCCCTTTTACGTATATTTTCTAAGCTATCACAATACCTAGAGAACTTGCTTAAGCTTACATAATATGTTGAAAGGCTTTATAGAGAAGCTGATAGCACACCAATACCTTATTCCAGTAAACTGGTCACCTAATAGTAGACAAGATCTGCAAATTGCAAAATAAAGACCAAATCTAAGACAGAAATGGATAGTTGAGGAAGAAATAGTCTTGAGTTATATTTGCCATTTGAGAAGAGAATTAATTGCTGGTCCTATTTTCCAAACTTTCTGGCACCACTGCAAAGATCAATCCTAAACTACAGCACTCAGACTTATTTAGAAATTTCTGTCTCACATCTAATAGCAGTGAATTATTTAATGGAAACTGAAGCCTACACCGTATGCCATGGAGGTGTAAAAAGGAGCACAATTCTTGTTTCCCTATGCTCTTGTTGTACTGGGTTCATCACTCTTAAGATCATTAGAAATCAGAGCTGGCTTTTCTCTTCTGGAGAGTAAAAATGTAGCTACAGAAACTCAGACTTTTGGTAACTGTGTAACTTCAAGGGAATCAATACCTGAGAATTTATGCCAAATTTATCTCAGGACAGCAATGACTGAAGTATCAGCTTTCAATCCATTAAATTCCATTAAAGTTCTGTATATAGACCCTGTAGCAATATTTTACAGCAGCCTCCAGACTCACACTTTCTCATACACATGAATAAATCCTCAGTCATAGGCTATAATTATGAAAGGCTTTGAAATGTCCACGGAAAAGAAACAAAAAACAAACCCACCTCAAAATTTCAGACCTGGGCGAGTCATTTCAAGCAGAGAAACACATTGCCCAAGCCTCAGAAAGGCCTCTTCTTCATAAATACCTCTACATGCTTATCTTTAGAGATGGAGCCAATGTGCTACTTTTGTATTCAACATAACAACTCATAATCACAGTCCCTGCAAATCTGTTCCTATATCACCTGCAGTATCTCAGATTTACACCTTCCATATGATGAGATTAGTGTAAAACACTGATTAGTGTAAACAGGTTGTACTGAGGTATATGTTTTTGATCTACGCAGTGATCTTCACATCTACAGAAGAAAGATGTCCCCAGTTCTCACACTGAATTATCAGGTTTGAAATGCAAACACATATACTGATTCAATGATTTGCTCAATTGCAGTTGTTCCTTTCGTCTCCCAATCCCTGCTCTGCTCTTTTGCCATCAGAATATCTTATATTTTCTTTTCCTTTCTAGTTATGTTTATGTTCCCATTTTTTCCTGTCCCATTAACTTCATGTCTCTTTCCCCCCTTATCTTCCTTCTCAGCTTCATGCCAAACTTTCTAACCATATAGTCTGAGAGGTTATCAAGAACTGTGAGCCCCTTGGACCTCAGTCCCAGTGGCTCCCCTTACTCTTCAGAATTTAGACAAAAACAGAGGAAAAATTGGCTTTATTAGTGATCTCAATGGCAAAACTGTCCCTGGCTTAAACACAGCAAGGATTTCAGCCATCATTTAGGTAATTTTTCTGGTCTAAACTGAAAAAGCAACTGGGCTGTTGTGAAAATGGAATAATCAAAACCAAAAAAATGTAACCATTGCTTTTGGATCAGCAACAACAATCATGGACTCGAAGCAGTAAAAGAAAATAAAAGCTCTGAAGTTTTGCTACATAATGTCCATTTTCATTGAAAATAAAAAGACGTCGGTGTTGTTCATGGAAGTTTTTCAACCCTCACAATGTAAACAGAAGTACATTGCCCCTCTGCTAATCAAGAGAACACAAATCTGTTTCTGATAAATGCAGGATCTCACCCCTCCTCACTGCTCTTATTTCAGCTTGTACACAGGGTTTAAAACTTAACTTGATGTATTTATGATTTAGTAGACATCTTCATTTTTTTCACTTTTTCTTAAGAATTTGAACACATAACCCTATACTACTGTAGCATCAAAGCTAAAAGCTAGAATGACAATACAACTACAGGAAAATTCAATTAATACAAAGGTTAAAGTCCCAGTGTCTACATTAACTTTATGTAACAATTATAAAATTTTCTATACATATCTAAATTGTAACCTTACATTTTTATATTATAAAATGAAATTAATTTGATCAGAGACATCTTGAATTATTAATATATTAATATATTTTCCTTATCCTCAAATTTATTGTAAAATAGATGAGATTTTTTGAAAAAAAGATCAGTGTTAAAGCGCAGAAAATGCTTAGTCCCATATTTATGAAATATGTTAAGCATTTCCAAATTTCATTTTACAGAGATCAAGATACTGGCAATAGGTCTCAGATTCTGGCTCATAAAACGGATGGACTGCTAGTCTTTACCATTGAGTTTATCTGCAATGATGGAGATTGCTAGAAAAATTCCATACGTATGCAGCACAGCAACCAGTGCTAATAATATAGATACAAAGTAAATATAACTGTTAATTATGACAAGATGGCTTTTGCTAATGTCACAGATGTTCTACTTTAAAAGTCATATTAGAGGCATATTCCAAAAACCGGATTCAGATTGATTATAAGAGAAGTTTATTCATCGATGAGCAATCCTACCTTTCTGTTTCAGTTGCGGTGCCTTTCCTAGCTTGTTTTTGGCTGCTATATCTTTCCACTTTTCTGGAATGCCTGTGAAATGACATGTCAGAAAAGAAATAAACAAAGAAGAAAAAGAATATAAAAATATGAAGATTATATATTTATTAATGTATCATAAAGGTAGTAACAGAAATGGTTGACAGACGAAAAAATGACGACTAACTTCATGAACATGCTGGTGAACTCAAGGTTTAAGACACATGGCCCCGATTAGGTTTGATTGAGGCTGATGGTGTGAAAGTTATGAGGTACAAAAACAGGGGAGGTAACATTAATCCTGACTGAACATGCAGCTAGTTCCCACTTCACAGTCTGCATTTGACTAGAAGCAATGTGACCTCATAGGCGCTTTAGTCCTCTCTGGACAGCATGAAAAACAAATGCAGAGTAGACAGCAGAAAAAAATGTTGTAGAAAGGACCAGAAAATACTAATCAAATGTAAACATTAAAAATTGCGTTTAAATCTAAATTTCCTAAAAACCTAAGGTTAACAAAGTATTTAAAGTTATGGTTAGACCCTCGGAATGCAGCAGCATTATCACTCAAATTATGTCAGCCTCTTCATTTTCTGTTTGGTTGGTTATGGGGCTTATTTTCCACTCCTTACATCACTTGCTTAGACTGTGACATTACGTGCAATGGAGAAAAAGAGCACATAGTGACTATTCTTTGTAGGATGGAAAAGCTGAGAGTATGAAATGCTTTCCTGTGGAAAGTAATACATAGCACTAGGAAGCTGAATACACTTATTTCTCTGCTCTCTGTGCTGTCCTTGTGAGCAGCATACATTAGAAATAGGTTCAAAATTACAATTTCCTTTCTCTTTCCTTCCTCTTGCTGAGATGGTGCTGTATACAATTCCATCTAGCTCAACAGCCTAGCACAGCACTCACAGTCCTGGCTCAGCTTGAGCACACTGTGGGCATTGGCAGGTAGATATTTACATGTAGGCATCCTTTCATGCCCATGTACAATGTATGAAGAGTGCACTGGAGAGAAGAACACTCATGTCATATTCAAATTTACCTCTTAAATGTACTTTATAGGGGATTAGATACTATACATGAATAATACATGCATATATGTAGTTATACAGAAAAACAGAAAAAACCTAAACATGTGAAAGTATTCTGCAGAGCATATGAAGAGTATACTATAAACAATACCTCATTTAATTGGAACTATGATTCGAGTAAACAAGGATACCTCTGTGCTGCTCCAGGTTTAGCACTTAGGTGGTCTACACTGTCCTGTTTTGGAATGCAAGACTCCAGCGTCCTTGTTCTTCACAAAATTTGGAAACATAGATGTGAATTTGGACAGAATGAGCAGAAACAGAGAGATGGTCACATGCAGTGAAGGTGGAGACGTGCAGTCAAATATATAAACCAAAAGCATTAAGGCACTTGCTGCTGGGAAAAACTAGAATTTGCATTTCTCCTTCTATTTATTTAATCGATACACTTTAAGGAAATGTTAAAATTTTTACAAATAATAGCAACAATCTAAGATGCAATAAAGTAAAGAAATGAAAGCCACAAAATTTAGAAAAAACCCAAAACTTTATACTCTACATGCTGAACAGCAGCACTGTGGCTTAGTATTTGCCATTATCCCTCTTGAGAATTAATCTACAGTATTGTTCATTAGATTAATATATAAACCTATACAGAACATCTTCCCTTAGGAAGCTGAAAAAATGTGTATTTTCCCATTATATTGTGAAATTCTCCTGAAAATGCAATTCATTTCATCATTTCACATATTCTGATGAAAACTTCATTTTCTGTTGCCAGCTGGTCTGCTACAGTCATAACAACAATTCAATAGCAAAGTAGAATAACTGACTCAGCTTTTTTTTGCTTAAATTTAAATAAAGTTCAGAATATTTCTTAATTTCTCTCTTATTTTAATTTCTGATGAAGCTGTTTAAGAACTTCAGAATTTGGTCACAGCTTTCAGTTTTGCATAAATATTACTAGCTTGTTGGTTTATTATTACTTTTCTATGGAATATATGGTAAAAAAAATTTTTCCTTGATAAGGTGTATCAACGTAAGTTCTTTTTCAAATAGCAGATCTGTCTTTTAATGACAAAACTCAGCAAAATTTGCAGTCTTGACTGACTTGTACAAGAGACCTCAATGGTTTGTAGTGAATCTGTTTATTTATGTCGTCTTAAAGCCACCAAGAATGTCAGGTTCAATACTTCCTGATTTTTCCTGAAGATTTCTGAAAGGCTGGATGCATGTGGTATGTGAGCCGGGAAGTCACAACTACTCTGAAGGCTTGGTAGTTCCTCACGCTCATTCCTAGCACCTCAATTAATTTCTTGCAAAACTGCCTCCCTGATCAAGTCACATGGTGTTGCTGGAAAGATGGGAAAGGATCATTCAGGGCAAATCAGTCTGTCACTGGCAGCGCATGGCACACCTCAAGTTCTCTTTGTGAAAGTACCAGAAGGGTACTTGCTCCACACCTGGCTTCAGGATGACTCTTGCACATGCATCGTTGCAGGTGCATGCATGGCCACCAAAAGCTACTTCTCTTAACTGAAAGTATATGAGAATTAATTTCTAAAAGGCTTTTTTTTAAATCCAGTCTTGGTTATATGCTGAAATTATATACAGACTTCTCAAAAAGAACAGTCTGAATAAAATTCCCATCTACCATTAAATGCTTAACTTTCATTCTCCTTGTTTTCGTAATCACGTGCAAATTCACAGTTTCGCAGTTCTCCAGTTACCAGAAAGTCTTTCACTTTAGGCAGACTTTCTAATTCTAATTTCTAATATAAAACATAAAAAACCTCCCAGCAGTGAAGCTATCAAATTCAAACCAAAAACTTCTCTTTAAACTGTCTTAAAGAAATACACCATCCTAACCAAACACTTATTAATTCCAAACACTGAAATAACCCGTAGCTTCATTGTGTCAAGGTACATCAAGGAGTCACTCTTTATGGCAAGTGAACTAATTTAATAATAGCAACAATCTTGCCAAGACCTTCACTAAAATTTGTATTTTGAATCATTATCAATAAATAAAATGTTGCAAAAACTGAATTTCAATGATTAAAATTAGAAATAATGCATAAATCATATGGTTAAGAAACGTATTCAGAAATAGGTCTTCTTGATTGGACCCTATATGCAAATTGGGCCAATTTGTAAGACAAATCTGGAAGGTACTCAAATGAAGAGTAAAATGACATCTATCAATGTCAATTAATCTGTGAAAATATGATTGGAAAGCAGTGCTAAGCAGTTAGTTACCCCTGCTGATCCGTCGGACACTCACTCCCCAACTGCACCAGTTGTCAAACTGCCACAAGCACATCTTAAAAAACCGTAAAATCTAGAACTCCGTGGTGTTGGCCAACTGTCAAAGCTATGGGAAATAATCAGAACGAACGTAAACTTAATGAGTAGAAAACAAAGCACCTTTGATTCCCTCACTGATACTCTCTCCACACACAAGGTGGACTATTATTTTGTATTGGGCATGCAATGCAAAGAGCCCATGTTCTCTGAACTTCTCTTAATCTGGGAGAAATATCCTGTAACTGGGATGCTGCAACCAGTCATGAGGACTAGGGTCAGCCTAAACTTCTAGGTTCGCCACTGACTGAATCACTGTGATTTGGTGACCAGATTACCTGCAAGACCTCCAGGCCCAAGAAGACACTGATTTCACTAAGAAAATTAGACTGCTGTTTCCACAGCTCAAAATCTTTCCTGTAACATATTCTATATCCTACAGATGCTTTACTGTCATATGTTTGCTACCAGGTATTAGATTATTTCAAAACTTCAGCTGATATCAAAAGGCTTACAATTCTGTGTTAAGAATGGAAGCATTTAGATGAAAACCTCACTTTACTGATATGTGATATGATTATGATTTAATTCTAATCACTTCAATGACAACAAGATATTATCAAGTCTGATCCACTGAAGTCAAAGACAGTCTTTCCATTGACTTGAAAAACAGGAAGCAAAATGACTTAAAAATGCCTCAATGAAACAAAGTACATTTGTAAGCTATTAAAAGCTGTCCCATCAAAGGGATGTATCAGCAAAACTTCTAGAAATGTAGCGTCTGTAAGGAGAGACAATTTTGAAATAAATTTTCTGAATTTTCATTTTATGATTTATAATGCTGCCTTTCTCAAATAAAAAGAAGACACGCTATCCAAACACAATTACACTCCTCCCACGTTGTATTGGTGGAGTACATCCAGTATTAAGCAAACAAGACAAATTACTGTACAAATATAAGTCCTGTGGATAGACTTAAGCAGAAGGTAAGCACTAGCACTATGGTAACTGAGTTTTATCCAGTTTTATCTTACTGTTTTAAGTGCAACTTCGTGTATGGATTATTTACATGAACCATCTGTATCCTGTCATTTACTATAACACAAAAAATTTGAAGAGAAAATTTTGAATTTACATCTCAACAGAAATTATAATGTGTGCTTAAAAAAAACCCCTAGATCTAACTGGAAAAAAAACACCAAAAATATTACTACTGAGAAAGCAATGGAATATTGAAAGTGATTTGAGTAGAAAGGTCATGACAAGAAAAAATCAAAGGTGCTTCTATTAATCATAGGTTGTATTCAGCAAAAAAATTTATTTAAAGCACTGATGTTTTTAACCAAAACCTACCTTGTTAGGAAAATCTGCACCATGGACACCATCCTGATTTAGGACAGAATTTATGAACAGTGCCAATTTTTACATACATCAACTAGCAAGCGTTACCAAGACCTCCAACATATCAGTTTGTGGGGGTTTTTTTCCCCTTGGAAACAGTTTGTAAAAAAAAATGGAAAAAAACAAAAATAAAAATATACACCTAGACAAGAACAGGCTCTACAACAAATAATCATATTATAAAGCACCACAGTGAAAACATCACAAACATTTACAGAAGCAGGTGAAGACAGACTAAAGAACACTAACACAGATGACATTCTGTTGTATTAGACATCATAGTTCATGGCTTGTGACCATTCAAGCAAATAGAAAACTTGAAAAGACATTAATTCCTAGGTGCTTTATAACCGTTCAACAAAATGTAGAGATGATATCTAAGCTGCTGTTTTATTTTGGGCTTCTGGAGGTTCTAAGCCTCTCTCTACATATATGCATACTTTTAAATTTCCGTATACTCCTCTGAGAGTGCAAGATGCAGTAAGCCGCTTTTCAACTGGGAGGAGTTGACTAGTACCTGTCATCCTCCGGAGATGCATGCTGGATATGAATCCTGGGACTAGTAGGTCGTCTCCTCTCTAGGGAGGGGGACCATCTACCCCTGTTTGCCCATTCAATAAAACAGGAAAAAAATAGGATATTTAGTTTGTGATAAAATTAAATACATGGGATTTGAGACTGGAAAAATACCTCAAAAAGTAATGAACGTGTATAATTTAATTATTTTTTTCTAGAAGTTTTCTAATTCCCAAGCATACTATTCTTACGTCTCCTTACTGCAGAAAAATTACAGCTGAAACAAAGAGAATGCATGCCCCAAAAATGCAGAATTAAGACCAATATAAATCTCTTACATAGTGTACCACTAAATTCTGAAATATTCTCAAACGCTAGACAATCTAAAAGTCTGTCATTCACATAGAAAGTCGTAACTCCAAACTAGAAGAGCTTTTTAAAGCTCTTATAATGATCATTTTCTGTTGACTACTGGGTGGTATTTTGTTAAGCCTGTCTCTCCTAGCTCTTTGCACAGAAAAATGCATTCTCAGTAAAAATGTAGGACTACAAATTATAAGAAAAATTATAAGGCATAAAGTAACCCACTGGAACACCATGAGAGAGTAAAGGTAAATTAATTAGCTACAACTAAGCTACACGCATTTCTGTACAAGTACTGGGATTTTTTTTTTTCATTTAAAAATATACACTGAAAGTGCATGCAGCCAGCTTCCTCTTCTGTTCATTTCTCTGTCTCCCTGCAGTACATTCTAGCAGATTGCTATACAATTAAATTTAACAAAAAAAGATATGAGTTGTGAAAGAAAACTTGTGTCTTACATTACTTTTTTTCTTGAAAAAGCTCATTTAATTTAGAATTATATATACTATACCATAGACTGGTGTTGCTTATTTTGTTGGGATGTTATGTGGTTTTAGTAGTACAAGTGTATGTATAACAATTTACAAAATCAAAATATACTGATTAATTTACAAAAAGCAAAATGTTTATATAAACTCTAAACAGCTATCTAAAATTTCACTTTCTGAGGCATCCTTCCAGTCCATTTAATAAAGAAAAGGGTTTGATCTACGGAACATGCAAATAACAAAGTTTTCAAGGAGGGCAGCATCACTTGAACAGTTAGGTAGATCTTTCAGAAGTTTCAAGACAAAATAGGCTGTTAGTAGTTAGTTTCTTTTTCTCGCCAAAGCAAGAGTTAAAGAAAATGTTAATGCATCAGTACACTCAGTAAAAGCCCTTAATATGCTGATTTCCACTATAAATATTAAACAGCATTTGATAGAATTAACTAGCTCATGCAGTATGCACTTGGAGAAAATGCTCTTTCACTGAATTTTGAATGACCATGAGCCACAGCACAACGCTGACAAACATGCAATAACCTGTTCCTTTGCACGGTTGAAAAGAACAGGAAACACATGACATTGCATATCTAATGCAAACAGTTTGTTTACTGCGCATCATTTTAAATGTCAATTGTGATATTCAACATAACTGTTAAAGGCATGCAATATAAAGACCTGATATTTCCAGTTTACTAAAAAAACTTAGAAAAATCAACATATCAGGACTGGTCTTAACTGGGTCAAGTGACAGCTCCAACTTCTCTATCATCTGTTTCTGAGTAGGTGACAGGTAACTGTTTGACTTTGTATCTTGTTTAGTTGGTAGAAACCACCTGACAGTAAACATCCTGAAGATCTTCAAAATGTTTTGATTCCTACCTCAGAACAAACCTAACACAGCTGCCAGGCTGCATTTTGCAGATACGCTGACACTCTTGCACATGAAGTCATCCCTGGGCTGTGCTCCCTGGTTTTACTCGCTCAGAGCTCCGGTAACTAACCTCTCAGGACCACACATACAAGCAGTACTGACTTGTACAACTGCTCTCGTGCTAACTTTGAAGAATAATAATAATAGAATCATTAAAGTTGGAAAAGACCTCAAGGATCATCAAGTCCAACTGTCAACCCACACCACCTAACCCACTAAACCATGTCCATAAGCACCACATCTACACGTTTCTTGACCCCCTCCAGGGATGGTGACTCCACCACTGCCCTGGGCAGCCTGTTCCAATGCCTGAGCACTCTTGCAGTGAATAAACTTTTTCTAATATCCAGCCTAAACCTTCCCTGGTGCAACTTGAGGCCGTTTCCTCTTGTCCCATCACTTGTTCCTTCAGAGCAGAGCCCAGCACCCCCCTCACTGCACCCTCCTTTCAGGCAGCTGTAGAGAGTGATGAGGTCTCCTCTCAGCCTCCTCTTCTCCAGACTAAACACCCCCAGCTCCCTCAGCCGCTCCTCGTCAGCCCTGTGCTCCAGACCCTTCCCCAGCTTCGTTGCCCTTCTCTGGACCTGCTCCAGCCCCTCAATGTCCTTCTTGTGGTGAGGGGCCCAAAACTGACCCCAGGATTCAAGGTGCGGCCTCACCAGTGCCGAGTCCAGGGGCACAATCCCTGCCCCAGTCCTGCTGGCCACACTATTGCTGATGCAGGCCAGGATGCTGTCGGCCTGATAATAGGCGAAACGATTGCTTGCAACACAAGAAACTCAGAAGGCAAATAAAAGCCACACTACGTGTTATTAAGTAACTACCACTGGCTGCAATCTTAAATCAATCTGGGGAAGATGATGTTATGATGAGAAGCAACTGCTGAATCAGTTCAGACACTGCACTTACATCTCACGCCTACACACTTTCCTGACTGGAGACTGGGGGCTGCAAACAAATGTCTCTGCTCTAAAGAAATGGTACCCAATTTACAAGGAAAAAAGCAGAAATTCTGAGACACAGCAAAAAGGACAATAAAAAAATCATACTAAAGGAAGTAGTATCAGCAAAAAGCATTTTCAATGGCATTAGATGATATTTATGACCACATTATAAACTCACATATGCCTTGCAGATCATCACAGGAACTTCAACACCACAATCATTTGGAAAAAAAAAAACAAACAAACCCCAAAAAACCAAAGAAACAAACCCAAAAAACCAAAACAGCTTGGAATAAGTAGGAGGGAGAAAGAGAGGGGGAAAGAGAGGGGGAAAGAGAGGGGGAAAGAAGACAACAATCACGGTGCAACTGTATAGATGTATTAGCAGGGTCTGGATATTTCTAAGTATCCTTGTGTATACTGTGCCAAAGAAAAATACATAAAGGATTAAGTTTTCTACCAAACCATTCTGTTTACCAAAAGACTTTGGCAGGACTGTGTCGGGGCAAGGTCAGTTTGCCAGTCAAGTTATACAGACTTTCTTTGCTCAAATGAGGAAGCTTATATCAGGAGAAAAGGAATGTCTTGTTGTTGTTGCTTTGACTTTGTTTTAGTGCAACTAACAAGACATATCTAGCAAACTCATATACATTGCTGAAAGTATTTTTCTGCTCGCATATGCGGGTCAAAAAAAAGGCTTTTACTGGCAAAGCAGTATGTTAAAAACTAGTAGCTATTCTGACCATTCCAAAAGACATGAATGATGTTGCATAGAGTTTGAGGATCAAAAGAATTTCCAACAAATCATTGACAAAGAAATAGAGCTCTACATTCCGTCAGTTACACACAGCCAATATAATTTTGCTAAAAAAAGCTCTAGTGGACCATTTTAGCTCTTGATCTCAACTACAATCTAATTTGTATGCTCCAAGGTTGGGGGGATAAGTAGAAATAATTTTCCATAGGTGTGTATGCTCATAATTTTGTTGAAGAAAATATAAAATGCCATATTTAGAAGGCTATCCTTGTATTTTGAGGACTAAAAGTCTAAATTTTTAAATAAAATCTACAATTCCATTTGAGGGGCAGGGAAGAAACACCATAAAAACAACAACAATACCTTCAACAGAGCTGCCTTAAATATAATGATAATAATGTGGTGCTGTATAGATTTGACTTCACAAAACCATGTAGTGTATCTCCTTGCTACAAGCAGGATGAACTCTTCACCTGTCAGGTTTGTCTAATCTCTTCTTAGACCATCTCCAGTACCACAGTCAAGACAACCTTTTCCATATCATCTATTACAGTGGTTTTTTTACACTTGCTTTCAAAAAAGCTTTCCTACTGTTTAAGATGAACCTGTCTTACTGTATTTTAAGACCCTTTTTCTCATCTTGTCCAGCACAGAAACAAAACGCTTTCTACATACCTTGAACTTAATCCTGTATTCTTCAAATTAAAGACTCCTCCATCATTACACGTAACTGATCACTAACCTCATGGTAAAGTGTAAGCAGACACATTTAACAGTGGAGAATTAAAATCTTCTAAAACTAGCTTCCCCCCCCCAAAAAAATATTAACGTAGTGGGTTTTATACTTTAAATATAACATCTTCCTCCAAAAAATTGGGCTGTATTGGAAAATAGCATCTATGTCAGAAGAAAAGAAAAACCAGTATGTCCTAAATCCTCTGTATAGAGCTACACAGATATTATTTTAAACAAAACCATCATGGAATATGTGCATATGAATTTCCTAAAAAATAGCTTTTCTGCACCCCCATCAAGGATCCCAAGCCAAAAGCACCTATTTAGGACTTCTGAAAGCAAAGAAGTAAAAGCTTCACAGTGATGGACAATTTTTCTGGATCAGGCCCAGAGGTGATTTGGCAAAACCACGTGTTTAGTAGCAGTAGTGGCCATTAACACAGACTAAACACTTCTTTACCAGGAGCTCGTGACAAATGCTGCAGATTCTCTGCAGTGCCTATTGGACAGAGGTTGCTGGACAGGAATTATCGAGACATAATAGAACTACCTAACATCAGTGACAGGTGGAGTCTTTAGTATAATATTTTAACTATATAGTTTACAATTGCCAGTTACTGTTTCATTGAATACTCACCTTGATAGGCAGTATCTTGAAATAAAAGTATAAAACACATAATTCTCATGTCCATGTTATTACATTAAATAGCTACTTGTAGATTAATGCAGCCAAATATATCTACAGACTTATTAATATAATGCTACAGTATTAAAAAAAATCTAGAACGATATCCTGCATTTCAGAGTGGCCTTATTTCTGTCATACTTTTTTTTTTAGTAACCATATATCTATTATCTATGATATCTGGAGCTCAATCTTAAAAAGGAAGTAGTGTAAATCCTTCTGAAAGATCTCAGCAGAAAATCAGTCATTCCTCTGCCACAAGGGCACAACTTGAGAAGAGTAAATTTCCAATGAAGGAACAGTGGGAAGAGAGGTCGAGGGAAAGGGAAATTTCACAAAAAGCTCAGGAGAAACCTTATCTCAAAGGGAAAAAAAAAACATTTTTACAGCCTCTCTTCACAGGTCCTCACCCACAACAATAAAAATTATGCAACTTTTATAACCACCATACTGTGGGTTGACTGACATAGCAACTTTGGATTATTAACCGCCACACTAGTTAAATATGTGTTGTACAGATGAAATCGTAATTCTACTGCATTCCCACTCAACGGCAGCCTATTCTTGCCTTTAGGGAAGCTAAAATCTCATTCTAAAATGGTATAGTTCTTAGGCAAAAACGCAGACGGTGATAAAAAATTCCCCTGTGGAACAATCACATCTGTCAAACATATCAGTAGCATTGGGTTCACCTAGGATTTTGAGCAAAGCTATTGGAACATCAAAAATTCGGAAAGCATCCATAAAATGCCTGCACAATGTATGTGACACAACAATATTTCATTTAGATTGCAAACATGTCTTCTTAAGACTTATATGAGCCTTAATATAATGTCACAGAGGGAAAAAAAACTCAATGCAGTGATTTGTCTTGCAATTGCAAAAGCAGATGCAGCAGATCAGATTAAGAAAGCAATGAAGTTTGTTTGTTTTGCAGAAAATACTCTACACAAACTACAGTTCTGGTTTGAAATATGAGAGTTTTGTCATAATTTATAAATTATGTTACCACCTTATTAGCAGTCCACAGAACAGGCAAGAAACAAACATAATACTTTTTAGCAAATGATGATGAAGATTAACCACCAAGTGGTACTTTGACAAAATACTTAACATTGCAATGCTATTATCAGCATACTGAGGACTTTTGTAAACAATGACACCAGCTTGAACTAACACAAGGAAAGAAGCCAGAAGCAGTTATAACTCCAACACACAATTTACATGACATACATTAATATAGGAGCAAAAATGTCTACAAACACCAAAGCCGACATGAATGTACAAGAATGTAGAGCACTTGTATGAAGAAAAACAAAACTGATAAAGATCACCAGCACAGATGACAAGAAATTCATAAGTTTTTATTTTATACCTTTCTCGTTCTGGTGAATGCAAACTAGTATCTGGTCTCAAGCAGTTGGTACTAGCACTCCTAGCCCTGTCAAGGGAGGGCTGCAGTTCACTAGTGCCAGTGAATTGCATCCAATGGTAGAAGAGAAAGAAAAAGAAAACAAAGAAAGGAATACCATGTTAGATATTAACTTAATGCTCTCTTTACAGAAAATGTAGAATCACAATGATTTAATTAAAGAAAACGTAAAAGAGCTGACTGGATGACAGTGCCAAGATTTGTTTAGAAAATAAAAGCAAACAAAAGACTGCTAGAAATTTTTTGTTAAGATCGTTGAAATGTTTAAAACTGAATGAGATGGAACAACACCCACTTGTAGGAAAGTTGACTGAGTAATATCAAACAATAAATTTAAATCTTTATTAACAGCTGTAAATCTTAAGCCAACATAAAAGGATGTGATACACTGTATATTATGTGAAATCACTTTCCAGTGAAGCTCATTTATTCTGCAAATCCATATTACATACCAAACAGGAGAGGGATTAATCTCCAGATTCTTACCTAACTAGTAGATTATCTCCAGATTTCGGTATTCGTGAATTAAGGCAATCACGAAGGAGTGAAATATCCTGTCTAATCACTGATTGGGTCTTAGCACATGCAGGAAGAGTTGAGCTTTGTAAATTAAAATGATTTAAACAAAACAAAAATGAATTTGACATGTAACCAAAATCTTATAAATAAACAAAAGAATATAACATAGAAAAACATGCAACATGTAATTTTAACAGTGAAGACAACTCTACCTAATACAAAATGGTTTGGTTTGGGTTTTTTGGTAATGTTTGGGCTAATTTAATCAGTTCCATGAAGTTATTTTAGGATTATATTCCTTAACTCTCAGTTATAAAAACTGTATGAAACATATATTTTTTTAATTTAACAAGTATTTATTTTTTTAAAAAGGAACTAACTACTTAAAGGGGACTCTAAACACTCCTTACCTGTATAGGTTCCAATATGTACTGTTTTCTAGCAAAGGCATCTTGGGTGGCAATGTTTTATAGTGCCTAACAGAACTTCTTGAATTTGATGGAGCAGAAAAGAAAATGGAAGAACACAAAAACATGCCAAAAATAAAAAGACAGGTAAAGGTAAGCCAAGACTGAACAGAACATAAAATAAATGCATAATATTCTACTATGTTTAATATCTGTATGAGTAGGTTTCTCAATGTTTTTTCTCAACTACTGTGAAAGCTAACTAGGGGACAAATTTTTGTATTTACACTTGTTAATACAGTCCATGAACTCATGATAATACTAGTACAGCTCAGATTTTTTCCTTGTAATGAAAGCAATGTAAATTCCATTTTTAGAGATTTCTAATTAAAATATACAAGTTGTTGTAAAGGATTAGGTTGATATTAAACTTGTTCCTTATTACTCTTAGTGATGCCTTACTTAGACCTACAGAGTCTTTAACCTCTTCAGTAGCTAAGTAAGAAAAGCTTGCAAAAACTGTGATATACACGATCGCAAACTTAATTATAGATGTTAGCATGTGGCAATTTTGAATGTGGAAGTCTTTTGGAAGTGGTGTATCAGCTTCAAAATGCTATTAATTATAAGCTAATTAAAACCCTAGGAGACCTGCTACATCAGACAGCACAGCAGCACTCTGAGCTGTTATACATGACAACTGTCTAACATCATCACTTAGAGTACATGAGATTTTAAAACAGGAAATGTTTGCTTATTATCCAGTTTATCTCTCATTAAAGGCAGACAGTGGCTGACGAATGGGAATCATGGCCATTTAATGGTTAGGGGTTAATAACCAAGTTCTAACAATTTTCCACATACCCTACCAGGACACAGCTGCAGTGCTATGAGCAGAAGGACCAGCAGCCTTGAGGATTTTGCAGCTTCAAGAACAACCTCTCCTAAAAGGACATTCTAACTCCTGTTAAGGCTTGGACCTAGGTACATCAGATCAACATTAAAAACCTGGCTGTGTCACAGAGAGATGAAACAACTCTGCCTGGAAAGCCCAGAGTTTGTAAAACCCTGAGAGATTTAAGAGAGGAGCGTTGACCCTACTTGTACAGGTTTAGTGGCCATCAGTGCTGACACCTCTACCAGAGCTCACTGTGATGTTTCAAATCTGGAATAAAGGAAATGTCGTCCATCAGGTCAATCGTGGCATATTAACAGATACTACCAATCAGAGTTGGTGTGACCTAAGACGCGGAATGTGACAACCCATGGGCTATGGCATAGGTACACGTCCTTCCACTGTTTCTGGTACTAGTCAATAATTGCATACAGATTGACAGGATGGACAGCTAGGACTAGTATTATTTAAAACTGGCGTATTAAACCAACCACACATCTTAAGTTCATAGCTTGGACTATCTCATATTAATATTTCTTTCACTTAACATGAAACCCGTAAAATTTCTTTCCCATTTTAAGCTGAAGCTGTCTCAATAATTAATTAAAACACTATTCAGCAACCTGTCTAGAAAACTAGGATAAATCCTTACAAAGTTTCTAACATGAATAAATGTCAGACCACAACAAATAAGAAAGGACAAAAGATGGCAACCAATGTGCAGGTCAAATTTTTGTTGAAAGGGTTTTTGAGACTATTCAGTCAAGGATGGATATTGGCAATTTTCTGGGTATTATTCAAACTTGGATTAGGCTGTAAAAGCCTCAGAGTTAAATTCAAAAATCAGTCTATTATCTTCTATTGCCCTTATATTCACTTTCAACACATTATTGAAAGTACCATTCTGTTTTATAGTATACCATTACTGTTACTGTAAAGGGTTGAATTTGTTACTTTTCTTGACCATAAAAAAATAACTGCAATGATTAGATTAAGGCAAAAGGCAAGAAAGGGCTCTACTCTCTGAATTCAGTGTAGCTCTTACCTAACTCTATTGGTGCCCATGCACAATTTTTAGCTGCTTAACTGGCCAGACTGTTTAGCAGATTTATTAAAACTATTAGAAATCTATAGTGGCTGGGCAAAGTGCATCAAAAGTCTATAATACAATATTTACTTAATGGATTAAGTGAGAATTTAAGCACTGCAACTGAAGAATTCTAATTAAAATTATAATCTTTAAGAGGGAAAGGAAAAAGCACAAAGGTGGGGGAAAGGATGGGGGGTGAAGCTATGGAAGATGCAGCAGAAAGGCCATAGGAAGGAGGCAGGAAAAATTGCTATTATATGACAATAAATGGACATAAAATAACAGGGAGTGAAATTATTTACCTTTAAAACATAAAATGTTGAGGAAAAAAAAGTCTTTTTAACTGAAGTATGAGAAAAAAACCCTCTCTATTGACAACAAAAATATAAATATTAACAGCTTCACTGTTGTATAGATTTTTTTAAAGTTTTCGTATTTATTATTTCACCTTTATACTACTGTGCCTTATAACAGAACCTATCACAGCATCTTTGATGCTGTTTCTTATTTGATGAAGAGACTTAAAGGAACACAAGGCATATTCATAAAAAACACTTACTCTGTAGGGGAAAATCCTACACCAAGTAAGTGAATAAGTGCATTAGACAACATGGTTTTAAAAGTTTGACAGTTTAAACAGCACTGACATAAACTCTTAGCAACAGCCAGATCCCAAAGAGAAAAATGGTTAACTACTCGGCTGAAGTAGTTGAATGGTTAACTACTTCAACTTCAACCTACATTTTTACTGATTCTAAATGGAAGATTTTCTACACAATCTGACATGTATTTTTAACAAGGTTAACAGATGTGGTGAAAAAAGGAGGGGGCAAGGTGGGGACACTGAACTAAATTTGTTAGATAAAGATATTTCAATCCTGTTTAGTTTCACAACATTGGGAAGAGGCGAGACAGGGAGTTCCAAGCTTTGGAATGAGAGATTAACAAAGATTGAAGATGAGCCCAAATTACAAAGTTTATGTCTGGATTTAATTTATAGCAGAATTTGTAGATGCCAAAAAACAAGTAATACAGGACCCCTTGAATCTGGGGTTCCCAGTGACCCCTCATTAATCACTGTTCTTTCCTCTACAAGTGACCAAAACCACCATATGAGGTATCACAACAAATAAAGATAATTGGTTTTTGCATGGCTGTAATATAAACACAAAAACACACACACAAAAAAAGAAAATATAAAACCAACTAAAATGGATGTTTGAAATTATAACAACACTGTCATGCACTGAGAGATCAGGACTTCTGTGACTAGATAGAAAATCTACCACAAAATACAACTGCAAGATCAGAATTTCTTCAACTGCTTTCATCCTTCCTATTGAAGTTCACAAACATATATACACATCTCAATGTGAATTAAAACAAACCAAAAAGAACTACTGACACTGGGACCACAGCCTACTGGGAAGTTCTTTACATACTGGGACAAAATACCACCATGGACAAAAGTTGGGCACACAAGGTATAGACAACTAATCAGATGTGTTCATGATTACCGAATTCCTGTATTTACCTGATGGTATGTAGGCACTCTGCACTTCTTCCTCGTTTTGCTCTGGGCAGCATAAGAAGCTCACTGCACAGACAGGATGGGTGGTGAGTGAAACAGATATCATTATGGAGCATCAGATGACATGGGTTATGCCAATGATACGCAAATGAAAACATAAAAGAAACCAAGAAGCTTCCACTCAGATAGATAGTCTGATAATGTTCAAACTCAGACTGCACTTCTCAAAGAATATGAGCCAAAAAATGCCTGCGAGAAATAAATTTTCAACAAATTCCTTTTAGTGTGACACCTAATTTTGTGGGATTTCTCCTTTAAAAATTCAGAAGTATTGTTTCAGAATTCTTCGTGACAAAAGGAATCCATAAAACAGCTACATTTCTCTAATAACCTCCTTTCTCATGAACTAATTAATAAAGAAATACTTTAGAAAAAAAATCTAATTATTCTTGCTGTTTGGTTGGTTGGGGTTTTTTTCCTTCCTAAGCCACAAAAACATACATAAAAAAGCAGGAAGGGTTTGCTACTAATTCACTACAGATCAATTTATGGGAAAAGTAACTAGTCACTCTTTTGGGAAAAACAAAAATTCAAGTTTACTGGAAATATCATGTTTGGCCAAATATAAATTCTGACTCATAGCTCTTGACAGTATTTTGCAATGAAATCCTAAAGAAACAAAAAAAATCCTAATCAGCCATCAGACTTTTGTTTCTTACTGTTTCCCACTGAGAAGATCAGCTGTCTATTCTGTTTTTCATTTACTGTAACCAAACACATCCTACAGCCAGCAAGATGGAAAAATTAACACGTATTTATGCCTATGGTAAATATGACTATGGTATGGAATATCCCTTGAATTAATCTTGCAGTTTTACGCCCTTCAACAGAATCAGAAAGATCAAGTTCCAAACTCCCTAATTATCATAAATATGAAATTAAAGCTAAACTTCACGGAAACATGCTATTTTAAAAGAAGCAGGGAATCATATGGAGTACTATGGCAACAAAGAGAGAAAAGATTATGAAATAGATAAAGCAGCAGTTGTTCAATGTGTTTTGTGCTTCATGCCGTTACAAAATGATCCATTTAACTGATGCAGTAGAGGTAATATCTAAAATTCTAAACTGGGCAGCTTGAACCAATGATTTGTGAGTCATGTGTGAGATTTAAGTTTGCATCTGGAAGGACTAGCCTGATTTTGATGCAATAAAATGTATTAAAGGTGAACTGAATTGGGTTTTTTTATAGCAATATTTCCATACATAAACTCAGAGGACTAACAGAATTTATATGGAGGTTTCCAAATTACAAATAAACATGCATTTTAGCGAAAAAGTTACCATTTTCTTAAGTTGTGAAGAAGATGCAAAGTCCACATTAAATCATAGGGTACTTTGTCAATATTTACTCTGCTTTGGTTTGGAGATATTTAAAATCAAGATTGTTATTCTAAAGTGTTTTCTAACACATGTACTAAAATACTTGCATTAAGAGATTTTATTTAGGAATAAAACACTAAAAGAAATGAAAAGGGCCATGCCCTTGAAAATTGGATTATGATCCTAAATTCAAAGCAGAGTATACTGCTTAGCTAGATTTCCTTATAAAAAGCTTTTCCTAACAGGTTTTTATATATACACATAGATACATAGGTGTATATATACGTATACAATATATATAAAAAAGATAAACTAGACGAATCACTGGAAATATATCATACCAGATGCTTTAGTAAGATACAATTATAACTATTTTTGCAAAGTTCTATACAGAATATTCAATATTAATTTGGGACCACTAACAGATCATTGAAAAAACAATCAAAAGTAACCGGCAACGGTCATTTCTGCCATGTAAACTATCAGATAATTACTCACCTTGCCAACTGAGTTTATGTTAGGTATCTACATGAAACACTTATTAGATGAAGGGTTCAATAAATGAACAACATGTCATACTTATATTACTCTCCATACTAATACATAATACTGAATAAAGACTTTTTTAAAATCCCTGGATGTGATAGAAAATCTTCCTCAAGAAAACCTGGCTTTGATCTTCCCTATGATGCTGCTCTTATGTACTGAAAGTGAAACCTGCAAGAGTTAAACAGTCTCCACAACTGAAGAAATCTGGCGGAAAGACAGAAAATGGAAAAAAAGGAGACCACTTCAGATAAGATTATTACTAAAGGAGAGTCAGTGCATGGACTCATCTTTAAATCCTGCAAATAAGCCACATACATCCTTCATGTCTGATCTTTATACTTATGAAGAGTGTTTTCTGAACATTGAGAAGAACTGAAAAATGTGTCTCACTCCCTGAACAAATCAAGCAACCCATTGCTGCTGTGTCTCTGCTCTGACAGCTCATCTCCAAGAAAGCCTCAATGCAAGCCCTGCTCGCCAAGCATAACCCATGCATACATCATCATTTATAGCATGGTTTGAGGCTTCACTGGAATAAAATTTTCTAGACAGTTAACTGTCTATATTTTTTTTTATGGACAAATGGTACCTCGTAAAGTCTCTTCCTCTTCAGATCTGCTGAATCAGAAATCTATTCAATAAATATTTTCAGGAATCTTTTTAATAGATCACTATTTACAATAAATAATAACTTGAAACATTTGCAACAAGTGGAAACTACTTGAATTAGCATAACTATAAATCTGACTACTACATTTAAAAAGCATTTCAATTCACCTCTGAAAGGAAATGCAGTACAACAATCCAACTGGAACAATTCTGTACAGATTTCTTGCCTATAAAGTGGTATTTTAAAATTTCCCAAATAAGTCCTTAATTCCCACATGTATGTTATCACATTAAAAAAGCAAAACAGGCAAGATCATACACAAAACTGAATTAGTTTAACTGCAAAAGCCGTCTGTTACTCTATTTCTGTGTTGCTTCAAAACTGGACAAAGAGTTCCAGAGATTTTAACGGATTATTCCTTACATGTTTTCACATCATTATGCAATGTTTGTTTTGTATTGCATTTACTGGATAATATAGAAAAGGTTTGTCATCCTTACTCATTAAAAAAATAGTAACCTACTGCAAAAAAAAAAAAAAAATTCCAAAGTCAGTACTAGGACAGTTGATTGTATATGAATGGCAAAAGTTTGCTATAACAGTTCAGCTGTATGATTTTTTTTGAAGCAAACCTCCCACAGACATTGATTATCTATGTGACTACCATCTTTAAGTTTCCCAAATACTAAACTGAAATACCCTTTTAAACCTTTTTTCAGCTATAAACCTAACAGAAATTCTTGTTTTGCTCCATTTTATTAGAAGATATTCCTAGACACCTGAAAACAATGCCTTCTAGGAGAAACCAAACATTCTCTGAGGAATGTAGCCACTGTATTCCAGGGAGAGATGTTTATGTGTCACGCATCTAAGATTCGAGATTTATCCGAATTACAAGCACTGCAGCTATCCTTGCTATGCTTGTGTACTGTAGCAAGTTCACCAGAATGTTACGTAAGATGCTGTGAGACTGCATATATAGACACCCAAAATCTATAAGCACAAGAATGCAAATCATATAATATGCAACTTACAACCAGTTGGAAGGCACACCTGGTATTTTGCTGGCTACCAGAACAGACAAATTCTGAGTTACAATAGCTAGAGCATACATGTAAATTTATGGTTTTCTAGCAAATATCTGTGGGCATCATTCATGAAACAAACAGCACAATACTCTAGGACAACATCCAACAACCATTAATCTAGATACTCACCACTACTATCAATCCAATGCACACTCTTACCAAAAAAAAGAGGTGTAAATAACTTAACCATGACCATTGTCAGGATGACTTCTCCCCCTTCCCCATTATTATCAGTTGTGTTTCTATCCAACAATTGAAAACCAACAAAGACATTTCTAAACTTGTTTCCAAGTTCAGGCTGACAATGTACCTTTCTTGATCAGACAAATACTGACTATCCATGTCTCTGGATCTGTAATCAGCTGGAGTTCTGGAGGCATCATGGTGTCTAGTTGGAGATCGTGATCTTCTCATTTGATGAATTTCATCTAAACTCCTGAAAGGCAGAAACATCCATGATAGTCTTTTTTTTTTTTTTTTTTTTCTTCTCATAAATAACACAGGTTAATGGATTACAGTACAAGCTGGTTGAAGGAAATCTCTTATCATTAAATTGTTAATGACTTCTAAAAAAATATCAGTTCCTAAGACTTAAAAAAAACCCACACCTCTAATTACAGGAAGCAGACATTTCTACCATATCTAGAAGTACATGCCTGCTTCTATGTACTCTGGTGGATTCAGTTAACAGCATTTTCAAAGCCCATACTTCAAGAATAAGTGAGATAACACAAGAAGTCTTAATACCTCAGATGAAATTAAGTTTTCGACAGTTGTAGATTCATAGCCAGACTTCTAAACAGCTGATTTTGAGCTTTCAACTTTTTGCATGTATCTCCAAGTGTTCTTTAAGAACTTCTGGGACAGGATATGGGAACTTATGCAGATTTTATCGATCTCAAACTAAGTGTTATACAAAAGGGGTATGACTGGATATAAAGGCAGGTAGGCTCTGACCTCCATGACAGTCATTTAGGGCTCTCTTCACATGAAAAAGAACAAGAAAAGAAACTACTGCTTAAAAGGCAAATTCTTCCTTTAGCTTAATAACTGCCATTGAAACAAGAAGCATTAGTTCTTCAAAGTATAAAATGAAAGGATGGATGGAATTGACTAAGGAATATTTAAACTGTGCATTGTGCTTGTAGATAGAAAGATACAACAAAAGCACATATAATTGTTTGTAAAGGCAGAATGAGGAGCTCTCGTTCTCTCTATTATTAAAAAAATGAGTTTATGCCAGTCTTTTTTATGTATAGCCATACTCTTCTATCTGTTAAGGATGTATTACTGAGAGGTGCAACAGCAAGTGATTTGTTGGGTAGTGAAATAGCTTAATCTGTAGGAATTGATGCAACAGAAGTGGATGCATGCAGAGACTTAAGAAGCACACAAAACTTCAGTGCACGAGAACAGTATATATGGTATGGAGGATGGAAAGGCAGAAGATCATCACAATTCCCAACTGGGAGGAGAAGCTGGTTTTCTATAACATACCATCACTTTGAAACATCACAGATGTCTGGGATTAAATGACCAGTGATGGAATTCCAAAAACAAACAGAGAAACAATGGAGAAGGACAGTACTGTAGCACAGAATATTGTATACAAAATTTGGCTAAGAAGGCAAAATTTTCAGAAAACTACCACAGCTACTGAGCAATAATAATGCTAGTGCAACACTTCAAGCTTTTGAAGTAATTCAAGAACAAAACTTCCTAGAAATTGGGGGAAAGGAAAACTGGTAAAAATTGGCTGATTTTCAGTGTTACATGATAGGCTGCAAGAGCAGCTTACTGTCCTGCGCAACAAAACAACCAAAATCAAGTAGGTCAAGTTGTGAGCTTAAATAGTCTGTACATCAGTATTCAAAAAAAGCATAAGGCATGCAAACGAAGAACTCAGAAAGGACTCTCCTATTGGTTGTCTTTTAAAAGCAGTAAATGCAGAAAATATATGTTTATAAATCACTATTGGATTCTATAAAGTGTTTTTTTTTACTTTACTTCATGGGTGCTCTTAAATGACTAATGAAAGCATACATCAAATTCAAACACTACATTATTAAATTCAGATACAAAACAAAGTTCTAAAATTGTGAAAAATTGTTGAACAAGAGAAAAGTTAGTAATAACAGATTATACAAACTTGAAACTACTCTGTGTTTCACTAACTTGTGATGCCTACCTCTGTAACGGCACATTTGGTAAACGTGAACGGGTCCTGCCCTGATCGTCGCCACGGTGAGGAGATACAGATCGTGAACGATGATGTGTTGTTCGTTGCTGTTCTGGCACAGTTAGCGTTGTAGATTTACTTTCTCTAGTACTAGATCTATAACCAACTGGCAAGAGGGCAACAAAAGGAAATTAGAGAATAAAAGTCTGGATTTGGAAAGAATTCAGAGGGTTAGTCCTTCCAGGAACACACATCTAAACACTTACACAACTTTCAAGTTGTCATTCAGCTGTTGTATATCCCAAGGTATCATGCACTCAAGATAAATTGCTAGCATTACCTATAAATGTCTACATGTACAGAAACTGAGAAACGGAGATAATTTTTGTTATGTACTGGAAGATGTGGAGGAGAGAACTGAAATAGTTTTCTGACTTGGGAAGAGTACCCAGAGAAACTTTATTCCAAAATTGTCATACAGTAATAAATATTTGAAATGAATCTAAGCAATGTGGATTTACCTCATCTACCAAATGGAGAAGGCACGCTAGTGTACAACAGCACAGACTCCTCCAGGACTGTTCATATATAAAGCATCCTTCTGAATTTTGTTTCTGTTAAATACAAAGATGTTCTCCTACTGAACTTCACCAAAGCCACCTACTTTCAAAAATTACGAGATTTAGAGTATATTGTATAGAATATCGGGTGTCGAGCTGCAAAGTTTCTTGTAGTTCATTTTTACAAAGGATTTAAAAAACAAATCTGCAGAATATTAGTACATTTTAAAGCATTGATATTCCTGTGCCTTTTTCCATATAGCACGCCATTTGCCTTGACATACGCTTTGAATCCCAACCTAAAACAGACAATGAAGCTTAATAAGGTGAACAGCTTTCAAAAGGTGCCTGTTATGTTTCCAAAAGAACTTAAGGAGATTTGCTCAGACTTCAGTTGCTCGCTTCTAGATATTTAAATTAGATTACAAGAACGTCTTGACGGAAAATGCCTTATTGATAGAAAGGTTCACCCCTTAAGTCATCCCTTAATGACTTCCCAAATTATTGTTTAGATTCCAAAATAATAATTTTGCTGCTTCGCTGAATTTGTCTAGCATTAAGTTCTTGTAATGTTTTATTTTGTTCAAGCTAAAAAACCATACTGTGTCAGGAATCTTCTTTCCATGCAGGAAAAGACTACCATTTTGTAACTCAATCATCAATTGGCTAAATTAAATAAGTTGCACCTTTTAAGGATCCTGTTAAAGAGTTTCAGTTCTGGGTTTTTTTCATACTTTGTATAATTTGTATAATTCTTGCAGTTCTCTGATGTTCTACCAAATGGTTACAGCTCTCTTAAAAGTATGGCCCATATACAGAGTCTGTATTGGACTTTCTGGTCACAATCAGCTAGAAAATATATACAGAAAGTCCTTTGGAAGTTCTGCTATAATTTTGTACAACTTTTGTTGTCTTCTACTTCATAGTATAGTGGCTGGTGGGAGAACATGGGGATTTTCTTTCTATTATCCCATTTGTTGAAGCAGAGGGGTGGGATGAGGTTAATAAATCAGGGAAACAAGAAGCACTGTGAGTAACAATAGATGTTAGAGGGTAGAATTGTGCCCAGATAAAAGCACTCGTAATAAGAACATATATGGAGTTCAGAAAGAAACATCAGGGACCATAATGTTGAGTGCATGTGTGCGCTGTTCTCAAACAACACTGAGTTAGATATGTCAGATAACGAACGGAATTTCATATTTAAAATGTGACACTACTCAAGTTTGGGGAGGGTGGGGGCTATTGTTTGAAAACCAGAGAAAACATGGAGAAAAACTTTTGTGAGAGCTCAGTTGTAGCTACATAAACAGCAAATGCTTGCCACTTAAAGAGCATTTTTATTACCAAAGTTGTACCGAGTACTGACTGCAAAATAGGCCTGTAAAAGTTGACAGCACGCATGAAAGTATCTACTGAGGTTTATCAACCTTTTATCAAAGAAGGACTCCAATGTTTCCCAGGTTTTTATGTACTGTAATATTGCAGTACCTTACCTGCTGAAAAAGTGTTGTGTAATAAAACTGGAAAGGAATATGATGTCAGGACAAGGACAGGGTCCAAATTTTAAAGCAAAAAAGGGAGTCCCTCAGGACTTTAGTGGAGATTCCCTCATCTCATGTATTAAAGATCTGCAGAAAATGCCTGGGGTTTTTTTGTCAGAGGAAGATAAAAAGGATACACCCAACAAAAGCTGGATGTGTTCCCTTTCCCAGGATAACTACATCTAAGCTGTACGTACTAAAAAATATTTAAATTTTCCAAACAAGCCTGTTTTAGATAAAATCCTGTCATATCTATCAGGAGGAACAGAAGTTTACATTTATTCAACACTACAATCAAAGATATCCAAAGCTTCTTTCCAAGCTTTAGGCAACTGTACTGAAAAACATATAATTTAAATATAAAAAAATAAATATCAATTTCAGTTTAAAATATATTTCTAGATTATCTCTAGTCTGCCTAAAATATATACCTAGGATTATCCTTTACATTTAAAAATCTGGTATAGAAAGATGATTTTTTTCCTACATATTCTTCATAGCCAAGCAAGCGAGGGAACAATATCTGAAACTTGTGCATTGTGTGTACACAAAGCTTACAGAACAGACAGAACAATTCACATTTATCCTATGTATCAGCACAAGTATGGTCAAGTTGGTCAAATGGCATCCATACTTCCATAGTGACCACCGCAGTGACAGCAACAGTAACACTTCCTCATATCCTCAAATACAAAAGCTCTGTGCTCTCCAGAGTGAGCAGAGAAAGTTTTTGCATGGACCAGCATCATAGCAGCAACCAGGCTTATGGTAGTTTATGCAGAAGAAGTTTCTCAGTTGCTCATGGGAAACTGTCAGGTGTGCCATGAAATGGAAGCTGGATGGATGATGAAAATGGTTCTAGCAAATGTTTGATACCAGAACTCTTTTTCTTTTTTTTAAAGACAATACAAACAACAACAAGGTGGTGTGTTGATGTCACCCTGCTGCTACAGGAGGAAGGTAAGTACAATGCAACCATTTATACAGATTACATATAACAGAAATACAGCTCATTACAAATATCCTTTGGGATACTGACAACTGTGTATCAGCTTTTCTTTTTAATTGGGAAGTCACCAGAGTTTTGGTTAAAAAGATAGGCCTCAAAACATGTTCAGTTGTTATTAAATCCTTTACTGATCCTTTACTGACTCTTCCTATACACCAAGCATTGGTGAGGACAAATTTGGAGTACTGGGCTCCCAAGTACAAGACAGACATGGAGTTACTGATGAGAGTCCAGCTCAGGATCACAAAGATAATTAATAGGGGGCTGGAGCATCTCTCATATGAGGAGAGGCAAAGAGACTTAAAATAATATTTTCTTCACGTAAATAGATGTCAGCATACCACAAAATCCTGTCAAAAATCAATTCTGTTAAAACTGAGCTTCAAATTAAAGTTCCTTTCAGCTGTTGATATAAGCTTCTTTTAAGAACAGTTCTATGAGTTGATTTAAAAAAAAAAAGAAAAAAAGTATCACTGCAAAATACTAATAATAAATGAGGACAGTACAACCATATGAAAGGTAAGATAGATTCGTGATACAAGGGAGAAATACTTTTCTTAAAATTATCTTGAAGTTATCAAAGTGCCATTATTTTTGATGTAGTAGTCTTTACTTCCAACAAGTAGTGATTCTTTTCAGCTGCTGAAACCTCTAGGAAAATAGCTTTCCCTGTTATTATTAAATGATAATACTGCATTTGCCTAGACAATCGGTAAAACAGTTGAAATTACAGTTTCAAGGACTTTAACCAAAATATTTTCATCATTCCTTTTTAGCTTGCAGTGAACTTTTGTGCTTCTACATTTTGCAGTTATGTGTCTGTTTTTTTAAAAAAGAGAAATAAACTTTGTGAAAATCTTGAGATATTAAGAAGGCAACGTATCTTCCTTCTCTTCTGAATATTTCAAGAAAAAATAAATTAACAATTTTAAGAATATACCTTTAAAGTAGACAAGGCTTATTTATCATATGTAAGCACCACAGTGGGTAACATTGGCAAGTAAGTGGCAAAGGAAGGAAAAGGGGCTTTAAAGGGAAATGTGGCACATATTGTAAACTCAATTTTTTGTATTCGTACTTCTGCTGAGAAGGAATATCTTAATCCTAGACTAAGGTAGTTAAAGCCAAGAGAGGCTATGCCAAAATGGTCTAAGAGTGCACCTGAGCTCCATCATCATCATACATTATAGGGAACTTTGGCTATTTGTCATGCCCTCCCACAATGCACACCTTGCAGGAGAATGTAGGAAATTTGGACCAGACAAGAGCTTGCAGTCCAGGTATTGGCAGGCAGGAAGAGGGAAGGGGTAAAGACCCTGTAGCACAACAAGGAACTTGCACACAATTCAGTTTTAATAGAGGAGACTATTAGATGCAGAAGATACTGTACTATTCATCCATTGCAAATGAAGGTAGCAGTCCGAAGTCCGAGAAGACAGCAATGTGATTAGTAAGGAAGGTTGGACTGTATATCTGAACTTGCTGTCCAGGCACATGTATGAATCCGTGCCTAAGATTCTCCAGCAGTTCGGTAGATGGTGGGACTGGCAACCTTTTCCAGCTCTCACAGCAGAACACGTTTTCATATGCTGTCTAGGCTGCCACACATTTGTGGCTGATGATGGAAATTTCTTTTGTCCCTTTGTGCTTGAAGTCTAACCCCCATTTAACAATTCAGGTTGTACCTACCAAAAAACCCCCCCCACTTACATGTATTATCCATTTCACATAGGAATCAAAAACAGATGAACTCCACTTATAATTGCCAAACAAGTGTATCCATTAAACTTAAAAGCTGACAAATTTGTGCCTGGTCAGGTCAGCTGCGAGATTGTTTCTGATTAGGTGGACTTCAGAAGGAGTTTCCTCACCAGGCCCTTCCAGTTTCAGTTTAGAGACTCTCAGCTCACTGTAAATCCAACTGCTACAGATTAAATCTTGGAATTTTCTACAGTGACCTCTGAGAAGGTTTAGACCCACGCATTCTTCAAATGCACACCTGAGCATGCACAGTCCCAAGAAATTTCTGTAAGAACCAGTTACTGAAGTGCTGAGCCAGTGAATAGAGTCCAATGCATTCAGCTGAACATTTTTTGAAAGTTTCCTGTCAGACGGAAAATGTTTTATTTCAAATGGCAAATGGATGCCTTGAAGAACTGGCAGCTGAAAAAAAGCCCCAATTCTTAATACAGTATACTGAAATCTTAAATGTAAATAAGTCTACACAGATATGCTAGTATCTACATTGCCAACTAAAAAAAAGAAATAATAAAGAGGAAAAATATTTAGAACATATGATTAATTCTGATTTTCAATGTTTGCTCTCTCAGCTGATGTAAAATGTCAAGATTAATCACTTCATTAAAGCAAATATCATTACTAGATATACCTGAACAAATTTCCCTCTTAGTATCCTAGGTGATAAGTATATTAAAGTAAGGAAAGAACCCAATCATCATCAAAGGAAGGAGAATTTGGCTCAGTAAACATCAAAATCATATTGCATTAATATGTTATTTGTTAGTATGGTTATATAATGAATAAATTAATTGTCAGAGTATTTTAAACACAGATCAGGAAGATGGAGAGCTTTCTAAATCTCAACATGATTTTCATCAGGAAGATCCATAGAAAAACAGATTTGATTTAGTGCTGGCGACAACATAGTGACTCTTCAGTTAGTTTGGGACAATTGAGTAACGTATTAATCTGATTTGTAGCAACAGTCCAATAGAAGTAGAAAAGTGTGGTACCCAAAATGATCCTCAAGATTTTCAGTATGCAAGGAACGCTGAACCAAAAGTCAAACCATGATAGTCTCTACAAGTACATATTTACGAACATTTAGGGTAATGATAGTTCATGAAGGCTTATGAAAACTATAAGAGATACAGCCATGCTACATGCATCTTAGTCTACAGACATGCATTCTCAATAAAGTCCATGGGAGACTGCATTATATCTAAGTTTCAAGCAAAAAGCAAAATAAAAAAAAAAAAAATGCTTGCAGTAGACACTGAAATATTAATTACTCTTTCAAAATTATTTTCTGAATTAATTTATGTATTAAATAATGCTTGGAACATTATGCAGTAAACAATTAAACAAATTGAACCATCCACTGGTTCATATATGAAGAATGATATGTAAAATAAATATCAATGAATGAATAGTAGAATCTTTTAATTCATCGTGATTTAGGACAGGTACCAAAGAATAATCAGGAAAACTGTTTTTTCACAATGCGCTCTCCAAAACCAGTATCCTCAATATTTCAAAATGTTATAAAGAAAAAAACAAAACAAACAAAAAAAAACAACAAGCAAAAAAGAAGAAGAAGAAGAAAGCAGGACCATGCTGTTCACCCACGCACCTGGAGGAACAACTCCAATACCATCATCAACATCATAATCTGAGATGTCACTATCACTGATTGGCCGAGATCCTGCACAACAGTAAGGTAAACAAATACCTGAACATCTGACCATGTTATAAAATGTAAAAATATGTTCAGTTAACATACTACTGAAATTAAAATATTATTCTAAGTCTAAAGAACTAAACTGCAGTGACTGACAGTGACGTTTCACAAGACAGCAGAGCCAATTCAACATTTTACAGCTGCTGCAGCCTCCTTTCCTCCCTCAAGTTCTCAGTAATCCTCTACTAGGATAGTTTATCTCACTAAACCAGCTAAAACTTAACTCAAAGAAAAAAAACACTTTTGTGCTATTTCAGTGAGTAAGCTGAATCAGCTTGCTGAATAGGAAAGGAGAGGTGGCAGCATATGGTGAGAAAGGGGAAAGAGGAAGCAGCACTGCCAGCTTTTAGAAAAGTTCACATATCTCATGAAAACTAACCTTTAATTTGCTCTCTCTATACATATCCTCATGCAGCAATTACAGCAGTATCACATTTTTATAATTCATTCCTGAACATGCATCAATTTCCTACGTGTTGGCTGGAATGAATGACTTCCATGTTTAAGAAAAATCAGAAAAAATAGCTTGTAAAGTATTTTAAAATAATCCCCTACATCCATCTTATTTCTAAATACATCTTAATTTAATTAACAGAGAAGCTGCAATATTCAAATATTTCAATACATTAATTATTTTAATATGCCTCATACAAACCTGAAATCAGACTCATCAAAACAAGTGTACCTCCCAAATAAATGCATACAATTTCTCTTTGCTGCAAAAGTACACTTCTCATCTGATTGTAGAATGAGCATATGGGAGGTTCAGACTAACTGTGTAACGAAAAGTGTTTTTAAGTCTCATAAGCTTCTAAGGACTTTCTTTTTTTTAAATAAAAATCTTTCAACTATTAAAAAAGTAACCAATAATGATGAACTTTATCTTTCTATTTAAAAGAAAATTTATGCAAACAAACATTTGAACAATTTTCTTTTGCTAGTGAAAACCAAACCAATTCCAACAGGTTTCACATACTTGAAAGTTATGCATCACAGGTGAAAGATTGCCATGTCATAATGTCATAACTTGCATCTCTTTTCTGCCACACCTTTTCATTATGTTTAAAACTATGAAATAGTATTTTTATCTTGTATATGAAAGTGAAATATCCTCACACCACATCCAGCATTTCTAATTTAAAATTTTAAAGAGATGAATGCAATTTGGACCTACTTTGTAATTTTTTGCTAGTGCTTTCTCCACCATGAACATGTCTTCTTGGCATGAAAGGTGATGGCTGAGGCAGAGGTAGTGAAGATTCATCATGTGTCTGTAGCTTATACCAATGTGGTTCATCATCTAAAAGTGCTGTCTCCAGCTCTATAAGAATCTAGTAGAAAAGTTATCAGGTTTTAATTTTACTTTCAGGGCACACACACACAAACACATATATAAAATATATATGGATATTTATTCAAAATCAAACAACAAACTCAGGAGAAATGTGATTGTATGTATCACCTCTCCAAGAAATTCACTCTCTTCTTCTTGTACTCTTGGCTGATCCCATATGGTTATTTCAAGCATTCGTTCTCTAAAATCTCTACGATGCACATGTGAGTAGAGAAAAGTTTGGTTCCATTTTGGCTCTAGACTTTTCTTTACTGTTTTGGTCCTCCTTTTACTCTTATCACTGAAACATAAATAGTTGTTGTTGAAAATTGTTTGTAGAGATAAATCACAAAATGCCATCTACTCATCAGCACTTACTGTGTGCCTAAAAGGGAAAGGTATTCGCTGTACAGTGCATCACAGTCATCCCAAAGTCCACAAAGTTAATTTGATATTGACTTGCATGATTCAAGCACAAGTGTTTGTTATATTTAATCTAACTAGAACAAATTATAAAAAGGAATTATCTACTTCATAAGCATACACTTGATTCAATACGTGGTAAATTAAAACATAATTTTCTAAAGTGAAATACTACTACCTTCTGTCTGGAAGAAAATACATTTTTACATAGGGATTCCTGGGGCGTCCATCTACTCTTGGTGGCAAATCTGTTGCTTGCAGAACGTTTACTATTAACTGATGTCCCACTTTGTCATACCACAGTTTAACCTACAAGAATCAAGTTACCAGAAAACATTACTGAAAATGGAGAAAAAACAGAATTTTACGACTGCATGACATTAATCTCAATGTAAAGGTAACCACTGTTTTTTTTCCAAGAGACAATGAGATATATTTTATTTAAAATCTCTTAATTTTTAAGTTAATGCAAAAGATTATGGTATACAGCAAATACTTTTGTATGTATCACAGATGAATAAAATGATGGTGCCTTATTATACTTATACTGTTTATTGTACTCACTGCATAATCTTGTATCTATTATGGTATACAGCAAATACTTTTGTATGTATCACAGATGAATAAAATGATGGTGCCTTATTATACTGTTTATTGTACTCACTGCATAACCTTGTATCTGAGTGCATTTAAACCAGCATAGGTTTTAGCTCCACACCTTAAAAGCTGCATTCAAATAGGAAGCCTTGACTGCAGCTAAACTCAAAGCATAGTTAAAATCTACCTTCTCTGATTTTTCACCTTGCAAATGGTCTTATGAAAAGTATAGTATACAGCTAAATAATTTCTTCAGAGAATCACAACATTATGAAATTTTTGAGCCTGCTGTATACTTAGAAATCAATATGATCAATAAAGAGATGTAAGAATCCACAAAAGAATGTACAAAACAAAATCTAAGTACTCACAGTATATTTAATAAGCTGTGCTGGTTTTGCCTGGGATAGATATAATTTTCTTCATTGTAGCTTGTATGGGGCTACGTTTTGGATTTGTGCTGAAAACAGTGTTGATACTACAGAGATGTTTACACTATTGCTGAGCAGTGCTTACACAGACTGGAGGCCTTTTCTGCTTCTCACACCACCCCACCAGTGAGTAGGCTGGGGGTGCACGAGAAGTTGGGAGGGGACACAGCTGTGACAGCTGACCCCAACTGACCAAAGGGATATTCCATACCATAGGACATCATGCGCAGCATATAAAGCTGGGGGAAGAAGAAGGGAGGCAGAGGACTTTTGGAGTGATGGCATTTGTCTTGCTAAGAAACTGTTACACGTGATGGAGCCCTGCCTTCCTGGAGACGGCTGAACACCTGCCTGCTGATGGGAAGTTGGAAATTAATTCCTTGTTTTGCTTTGCTTGGTCATGTGGCTTTTGCCTTACCTATTAAACTGTCTTCTTCTCAACCCAGGAGTTTTCTCACTTTTACTCTCACAGTTGCCTCCCTCATCCCACTGTAGGGGAGTGAGTGAGTGGCTGTGTGGTGGTAGGCTTAAACCACGACATAAGCACAGCTTCAATCAGTATTACAGATCGTTCCAGGATGCAGTGTGTATCTAAATTAAAATGCAGTGTAACTGAACAGTGTAACTCTTAACAAATACACAGCTCTTCAAATGCTCCCATGAAGGAGCATTTAGTGATAGCACGTACATAGTGATACTATGCCTGTTATCTGTGGATTACTGGGCATGAACTGAAAAGTCACCGCTTTCAACGCAAAAAGTACAGGATGACAAGCTACAAGGCACTTTTATAGGCTCCTCTAAATGTAAATTCCTGGGCTCTTTGGTGTATTACAACAACAATTCCTTACCTCTGCTGTGATTACAGGGATGGTTTGTGAGGGTGTACAGAGGGTCTTTAAAAATATTTGAAAGATGTGTCTACCAACAACAGACATTTCTCTTGACCTCCCAATAGACCTTGGGAATGTGGAGGGTCGAGGGACCAGCACTTCACAGATTTTCATTAACAACTCAGGAAAAACAAAATATGCTCACAGAAAGCTGCCCTGGTAGGACTTGTGGTGCATCCCGTAGGGCTCCAGGGCTGGTTGGAGAAATAACAGAAATAGAAGGCCTTTCCATCTTCTGAGATTCAAAAGAACTTGAACCTAAAAATACATGAGAAACATATGAAGTTTACATCCAAAATTTTTAAGCAAATTTGGATAACTTATGAATTGCTTTTTCGTTGAATTGCTTGAAGTTTGTATTTATACACAGTATAACTGGATTAATATACAGTAAGTTTTTTAACTGATGTAGATAGCATGGTGAAAAAGACTGTCTGGGTACCCTTACCCCAGATTACACCTACCATTTTTTGTTTTATTTGAAGTAACTTATAAAAAAGTGTTCTTCATATAGCAGTGACAAACCATACCAAGTGTTTTAAATAAAACACTGTCCTATGACAGAATTACCCATCTCCTCTTCAACCCAAGCTATTCTATGATTTTATGACTCTACGATCTCAAATCTTTGATGAATAAAACCACATCAGTTGCACTGATTATACTCTGAGTAGCCTCTGAAATTTGAACTCCCAAGGAACTGGCAGACAGGAAGGTACGCAGGATGTGTCTGGCATGGAGGATGCTCTGCTGCCTGCTGGACATCAGCAGTTCTCTGCTAGCGAAGCAGAGCCCTCACTAAGGAGATGAACTCACAACAGGTGTAACAGCACTTGGTGGCTCCACAGGACCCTGTCCTGGGGAAGGTTTCTGGATGCATCTCAGACAAGGCTCAGGTGAGTAAGGACTGGGAGCCATGGTGCTCACACACTCTAGCTGACACCATTCAAATGGGATAGTTCAAAAGGCAAGCCTTCTTTTGATGCACAAAAAGTTAACCTAACCAACATTTTCGTGTTAAGAGAAACAAGAACTGTGGACTTACACTGGATGGTGCAGGATGTGAAATCCTGGCACCACTTGTACCTTTGGCAATCTCTTATACCTGTTTTCTCTCTTAACAAGTAAATAACTCGTTTGGGCCACATTGAGTATACTGGTATGGTACTAAAAACACAAGATATAGAGGTAAACAATAAAATCCTGCTAACATTTGAAATCTGTATAGCTTTTGATCAAATCCCTATTGTTTTGAATTTAAGACACAAGACCAAAACCTATTTGATTTTGTCATACAAAAACCTTGGAGCCCATGCAGTCTCCCAGCGCTCATCTTTCAGAAAACTCACAGCCAAAATGATTGCGCTGGATACAAGACTATGCTTAGCGAAAGGAATGAGGCATGTACTCACTAGACTCTAACGGGGGGTGAGAAGTCTCAGGAATCCGTGGAATATCACTAAAACATGAATACACATGAGTAATTAGAAACAAAGGAGACAAACTTCTGCTGAAACAAATACATTTCTCGGACACTAGTTTAGAAATACAGATCTGTTTCTGTTCTAATGGCTTACAAGGAAAGAAAGGGGAAATATTTAAAGACATATTTTCCACTAGCATTCATGAAAATCTTAGTAATGCAAACTACTTCTTTCAAGTTAAGGAACTAGCAGACGTAACAATACGAGCACTACAACATTATGGATGGATTCCACAATATTCTTACAACCGAACAATAACGTTAGAGAGCTTTTAGGACAAGAAAGGTGGCAAAGGGTAGTACAAATACAGATGTTCATCTATTTTTTGGAGGAAAAAAAAAAAAAAAAGCCAAAAACTAAGACATAGATTAACTCACTAGTAATTTTTGTATAAACGTCTCAAGGAGCTCACTGAATGAAAGTGATGAAAATGTCTTATGATAATAAAAAGAAAAAGCAAATAACATTATCAGTGTTAAATAAACAAAAGAATAATATATTTCTTCAAAGGCTAAAAAAATAATCAAACCATATTACGATTGGGTATGGACATTTTTCAACATACGCATACCGAGCACATATATAGGTATAAGCAAAATCAAACTGGTTAAGTCCACACACACCTAACAAAATTTTGCCATCAACAAATTTACTCTTCCATCAAAATCTGGATGTTGGTAGCTCCTGAATCTCTTCTTGCTGAGTTCTCAGCAATCATTGAAAACACATTGTAGCAGCAAGAAATGACTGTTATTGTACAAATGTCAGCAAAGCAGCAGAGCAGGGAAATGGAAACAAATCTCTTCAGCAAATTAGTTGAAAGTATTTTCATCTACACAAAATAATCCAAAATTGGAATTACAGTACCATTTCTAAAGAACATTTACAAGATGTTAAGTCTAAAGTTAATAATTTAAAAAGTATTCAGGAATTTCTCTGTTCACTGAAACACTGTCTTACTGACTTGGAAATCAATAAAACTAAGAATCCATATATAAAAGTTGCTTATGAAAAAGAAACAGATACTTAAGTCAGAAAAGGAATGTAACAGAGGCAAATCAATTCATCTTAAAATGGCTTTTTGTGTCCTGCAATTTAAACTTCTGGTGTGTGTCTTTTAAAAAGGCCTATTTCAGATCCCAGTTAATGTCCCACATCAGCATACATCTCACATCACTCCACAAGAATGTGCCTCTCTGCTTTGATTTTGTCATTCAAGAGTAATGTTGTTTCCTCAGACTCATAGAAATATACCTGCATTCCTTATTCTTGACATGGCACAGTACTACTTCCCAAAACTATAAACAGATTAACAACACATTGCCCAGCAGGGCTGCTGTGCAGACTTCTTCCTCTTAACATTTTCTCCCTTCTGTTTCCAGGGCAATTCTCATCAGTCTGAATTATTTACTCAGCATATCCAAACTGACTTTTCTGTTCAATGCAACAGTACATTTACAATGTTTTCTTGTGCTAGAATAGGAACACTCTTGTCTGCAGTATAGCATTGTTTGTAATAATATCCCATATAGCATCTCTAAATGAGGGCTCGTACGTGCAAGGAGTGTTTCAACACAGAAAGCGCAACCTGTTGTGTTAAGTTTTGCAACTCCTGAGTGGGTGAAAAAACCGGTCAAGTTGATAGTATTGTCCTTACTTAGAGCTGGCAATACAACAGTTTGTGTCAGGTAAAAGTAAATGCAAAGATGATCAGATCTTTCTTAAGACTCTACTCGTCAGACAGGACAGAACTGGAAGTACAATTTCTTTAATGTATTTTTCAAGGCCACTTATAATTCTTTTGAAAAACTGACAGGAACAGTTGAAGCTAGAACATAAATTTCAACTCCCAACAAAACGCATGTCTTGCACAAGAAATATTATTTGGTAGCTTTGCCACCCACCCTGTTCATCTGCACCATATTAGAGCTCATTCACCCTCACGAAATCTCTAAAACCGTATAGTACAATGGGCAGCTTTTATTTTTTTTAATATATAGGTATGTATATGAACATATGTATATGTGTGTATATAAAGTATATGCATATGTATGTATGTATACATATACAAAATTATTGGTAGGAAACCTTCTCTTCACTAATATATTTATCTTGTTTAAGTACAGCTCCACACAGAACTGCAAGACACAAAAGCAGAGAAACCAATAAATTAAGCATGCAATACTCTACCAATCACCAAACTCATAGCAGAGTACCCTAACAAGCTCTGTAACAGCTCTGCTTTCTGCTATTGATTTCAAAATGGACATGAAAGAACTCAAAGCTATACTTCCGTCTATATTTAAACTTCTTACAAATTCAATAATCCACTTTATGCAATCATTTCTCAAATAATACATGCTCACAAGAACATAACTGGTATTATATGTCTAGTGACTTTATCAAATGTATGAACGGTTTTTTTTTTTTTTATATTGTCATTTTAATTAAGGAATTAAATTTCTAAAAAGAAACTACAATCTAAAGCTTGTTAGGTGAGAAAGAGACTTATCTAGCCTGCTCTTACGGATTGCAGAAAACATTCTGACACTATGATTTACAAGAAAAAAGCTTTTCAGAATAGTAGAAACCGCATGACTTATAATATTCAAAACTAGACTAGCCAAAGCAAATGGTAAAAACAAAGTAAGTAGCAGCACAATCACCTATTGAAAATAACAACAAAATTTTCCTCTGCTTTCAGAGCAACATGAATGTCAGAAGAGCAATGTCAGACACATTACAATAAAGAGCAGCTGACATCAAGTTTGGTCTTTCTAGCTCTGCCCTGAAAGGCAAAGGTTTTGTATGATCTTATGTGATGTTACATATGACTATTGTGTATGTCTTATCCTTCCACACCTCAATAAGAACATAAATTAAACCAAACCACACCTGAGGCTGAGACTACTCAGTGCAGATATAGAACTTGTGAGGGTCACTATTTTGCAAAACACAGGAACAGCTATAAATTATCTGAGGGCTATAGTCAAGAGCTTGATCACTGAAGACAAACCAAATCCAAACGGGGTTGTAGCTCACGCTTCCTTAGGTTGCTCTAGGGACAGAAGCATTCTCCTCTACATCCCACAGAGTTTTCAGAGTTTCTGAGTACTGGTCCCCAGTGCTCATTCTCCTGTTTCCAAACCCATTCCTTCCCATCAGAATCCGTAGATCAATCTGCATTTTGCACTAATTACATTACTCAAGTAACTCCTGGAATTCAGTCCTGCCTGGTTTATGATGTAGGTTCAACCTCCTTGCAAGGACCTAGAGTACAGTAGCAGTCCCTGCAAAGAGGACCTGAATCACATCAGAGAAACAACAATTTGGAAATATCATCTGTGGAAATACAAGCAAAGTTAGCTAGCATCTAACAAAGAAAACAGAGACAAATTAAAAAAAACATTTTTTTTACCTGCACTATCCCATAGAGCTCACCCGAGCACACAAGACACGGTGAGTTAGTTACCATGCCAGGTTTTTTCTCCAATAAGCATACTTCCAGAGGATTTTCGACGTTGTCCTATGTTAACCACTTCTCGCGTCGTATGCTTATTCATAGGTAATTCTTCCCCTCATATTTAGACAGCCAACCCATTAATTCTACTTTTTATAGGTTTCTTATTTACCTTGTGTTGCAATCATTAGCATTAGCGTCAATTAGTTTCTATGGTGTTTTTAAGGTATTATTGTGGTTGTACTGTTTATTATTGTTATGCCTTCATCTGCTAATAGTGTTACATGTTTCACATTTTTCTAATAAACATCCCATAATTATCCATTACTCAAAATTACATTTGCTGGTAGACACAGAAATCCAAATTTACAAGACTGAGCAAATTGTTTAGACCTCAATTTTGTAACTGGCAGACATCTAATTTGTGGGCTTACAATCCTCCCATTATTCACTTAAGCCAAACTGTGTCACTGTTGGGCTTTTTAGACCTAATATGCTAGGACTCTTTAAATGGAGGCCATTAAAAGCACTGGCACATTCTTTGCATTATTAATATTTAGAGATGAAAACACTTAAATTATGCAGACAAAGTATCATTTTTCAGGTCTTTTGGGAACCTATTTCCTCACAGATATTTTCGGTGTAATGGATTATCACCTAATGCTGTATCAAACAGCTTCGATTTTGCTGAGTCAGCACCTCAAGCAGAAACAAAACTTTTTGCTATACTAGATCTGACAGATCAAATCAAATTTCCTGTCATGAATTTGATAGTTTGGATAACAAAATAAGGAGAAACTGGGGGGAAAATCCTGTGCAGTCTGTTCTTTTTTGTGAACTAATATCAGGATTTCCTTCATTGTACAATGTCTGATATTTTTTGTTCTTTTAAGATGACAGACAGGTAAATCCCAATCTGGGACAAAACAACAGCACTTTGACTCATTACTGCAGGAGAAAGAAAATATCTTTAAATTTCAAAGTTATATGCTCTAGTTGCTTTGGGATATTTATTTGCTCTTCTCAGGAAAAAAAAAAAAAAAATCAAGACACAACTCTTCAAGAACAGTGCTATTATAGTATGGAAAAACCTCCCTGCCAAGACTCCATTTATCTGAAAATAAAAGCACAAACCCTATTTTGCCTATGTCTGGAAAAAAAAACATCTATGGGTCATCCAAAGCAAAACCTTACATTTTATTGGTACTATTTCCAGGTGCACTTTTTAAATGAAAAATTCACTGCTCACATTCAGAAACAGTTTTGGATTTTGAACGCAGTTCACATTCTGTGCCTCACTTAACAGTTGTGGTATGTTCTCTCGATTTTTCTCCAAGAATATGTCACTGGAATGTACTTCATTTTTTGAAGCTACGAGATGTATCAATTTCATAAACTGAAATAATTCAATTGGTTTAATAATGAAGTTATCTTAAAAGCTTAAGGATACATGACATTTGCAAACATACTGATAGTGTTAAATATATCTAAAACTCAGTATTTAAAATACTCTTCTAGCACTTTCCTTTTGTATCAGTTGCACAAATCAATTTTCAGGTTTTATTCAATTGAGACACGGAGTTCAAGTCAGGTCAAGTGCACAAATCAATTTTCAGGTTTTATTCAACTGAGACATGGAGTTCAAGTCAGGTCAACTGTCAATATATTTCTTTTCTGACAATTTAGACATAAAAAACTAGACTTCCAAAAATCTCTTTATGGCATTTAATTTTTAATTATAAAGATGTGGGACTGAATTTGCAATTCTCAGTCAGGAATGTCTCCTAATTTTTACACCTAAAGAATGTAAAATAAGTTTTCTACTCCTCCTCAGTCTCCATCTGGATGGTAATTTTAGCTTTTAACAGCCACTATTTTTTCATCAAACTTTCATTTTCCATTAGAAGGTCAAACTCATAACTGGAATTAGCAACAAATGTTAATTTTATTTAAGTATTTTAATAGTGATTGCCATTAAAAAGGCAGAACTCATTTGCAAAATATAGCTACACTCGCACAAGTATAGACAAGACCAAACATCCAAAGCTGATGCGAAATAAAAGAGCAATGTTTTAGTCAGAAAGAATATGAATAGTGTTTTTGTTTCTAAAACTGAAACCTTATGATATTTGACACAGATAAAAATTATAGTTAGGATGAAGTCTAGCAAATTCAAAACCGATCATGCATTCATAAGGAGGAAACAGTTTACCATCTACCTACAGGCCAGTGGTATTCAGAGACTTACAATGAGTCTACATGAAAACTGGGAAGGTGACAAAATACATAAACACACTAAAATCCTTTTAATTCTTTTTTAAGCTAGCCAAGAGTCACTTTGATTGTCAATCATGACTCTGTTCTGCAGTATAAATGTAAAGTTACAATATATGATTCATTTTAAATCCCATAAGACTTAGCTCAAAATGGTCCCAACAGAATCGTGTTGGGGGAAGGAGTGTAGAATACCACTAAAACAATTGTGACAAGTGCAGGGCCAACCCCACTAATCTTATCAATTCAAACAGACTTCATGATCTTTCTCAGGCTTACTTGGGAAATCAAGAATATACGAATTGTTACCACAAAACCCCAAACCTGGATTCATAATAAATAAAAAATAAGATTATAAACATAACAGGTTAATACTAATTTTGTATGAAATAAATTACCTTCAAAAGTATGAAGGTATTTTTGTTTCCACTTTTGATTTTGATTACTACTATTTAAGGTTAAATACAGTTTTTTCAAATAAAAGGTTTGGGTTTTCTTTTTTTGCTCTTTAAAGAAGGCCTGTTTAAAATCCTACTGGGATTAAGTTATTAAAATCCTGCAATGCTCAATGTTCACTGGTATTTCCTTCTACTCATGAATACTCATGTAAGTTATTCTGATTTCATGATGCTAAAAAGCCTGAAAAAACAGATTTTTCTCATGCAGAGGTCCACTTGATCCATCAATTTTCCTTTGTCATTTGGCAAAAAACTTGTTAGTACTTTGACCATACAGAAAATATAATCTGTACTTATATATCACTACAAAGATCCAAAACTGAAATATACAAAATGTCAATAGAAAGTGAATCATATTCCATTATTAAGAGATAAAAAATAATGAACTCACAAATAGTCCCTTTAAAAGTCCCACTAGTAGAAGTAATAACTGTGCTTAAGAAGCAAGTCTTTAGCCTTACCCAATAGGCCTTGAAACAATAATTTCAACTTGAGGCTCTGATTTTGATTCTAAAATAATGTTGTAAACTTCTTCATTTGTAGCTCCAGGCAAAGGTTTACCATTCCATTCTAGAACTTCATCCCCTTGAATTTAAAGAGAAGAATTTATCTCATTTCCACATTCTTTTAGAAAGAAGTGCAAAATATTAATGAAATCTATATAACCAAGTAACATTGCTCAAAATCAATTAAAAAGCTGTACTGAACCCCCCCCAAAAAAACGTTTTTGAGACACTATCAAGGCTCTTTTCTCAGAACACAGCTACAATTTGTACACACAAACCATATAAAATAAACCATTTGATCAAACATATGAAGTATTTCCAAAATGATACAGCACCTGTTATTGTACTACAAAATAAAAGTCTTTCTAAAAGATAATTTATTAACCAGCGGTAATAAAGTTTGAAAATAGGGTAAACTTCAAAAATGAAAAATATAAATACCTACTGTTAAGCCTTTAAAATTATTACAATTTATTACAATTTATATACTGTCCATTTCGATTTCTCTACAAAAAGACTAGTCGTCACTGTCTGCGTCACAGAATCACAGAATCACAGGATGGTTTGGGTTGGAAGGACCTTCAAGATCATTGAGTTCCAACCCCCTGCCATGGGCAGGGACACCTCCCACCAGCCCAGGTTGCCCAAAGCCTCATCCAGCCTGGCCTTGAACCCCTCCAGGGATGGGGCACCCACAGCTTCTCTGGGCAACCTGGGCCACTGCCTCATCCCCCTCACAGTGAAAAATTTCTTCCTAATGTCTAGTCTAAATCTGCCCTCTTTCAGCTTATACTCGTTACCCCTTGTCCTCTCACTACACTCCCCGATAAAGAGCCCCTCCCCATCTCTCCTGTACCCCCTTCAGGTACTGGTAGGCTGATGAACCAAAAATGTCAAATGAACCAAAAACAGAAGCAAGGACTGAGTAGCTATCTCTGAGGATATGAACCAAAAATGTCAAATGAACCAAAAATAGAACCAAGGACTGAATAGCTATCTCTGAGGACGTTAGGGAGGACACAAAGGAAAATATGATGTGAAAGTTATTTAGATAGCTCCCTACTGAAGCCCTGTCTACCAAAACACATGGCTTCAATTTCTCTTTATATTCAGCAATTGTCTGTCCTTCTTCCCAAACAGCCTCTATTTTGGTATTTTAAAAAAGGACTCCACAGATTACTCCACTGGCTTTCAAAGCACTTTGGCATTCTTTAAAACATAAGGGTTTGCTAATAAAAGGCTTAATAAATGCTTGCTGGCCTAAGTTTAATTTTCTACCATGTTGTTTAGCTGAAACAGTTTTAAATATTTCATATATTTATCACAGAATCTTATGTTGGGGAGAAACAGGAATTAGATATTGCCTAGGAACTTCATTTAAAATTTATACAACTCGGTGAAAACACACTCAGTTTCTTCTATAATTCTGACTGTATTTTAAAGCTAACAACTGATATAAACTAACCTATCATTTTTCCTGAAAATGAAATCTGATTTCTTTAGAGATAATTGGCTTAATTTACAAAAGCATCGCAGGCATTAAAAGGAACAAGATGTGTCCAGCTTTGCAGCCATTATAACTTAATAGCAAAAACCCACACAGACATATGCTAAATTTGTTAACACTAAAAATCATGATTTAAACCTAATTTACACAGTAATGAATCTACCACATTTTGAAGAGGAAAAAATAGGTGCAATATGGTTGAGAACCCTGAGGAGGAACACACAAGGTGTCTGTATCCCTATTTCAGAGGACTTAAGCAGCTTTTTGAGAGTCAACAAGCAGTTTTTTGAGAGTGCCAACAGCACAGCCACTTATTTATAAGTGCAGTATATACAGTTTATATAAATTAAATATTTTAAGACAATTTTATTGGGTTGTTTTCCATTTTTATTTGTAAAAATTCACATTGAAAAGAGTCCATTGTATACACAGTGCATCATCCTTCCAAGTGATGCTATAGTGCAAGTAAAATAACTGTAGCAAGTTTTGTTTGGCACAACAAAACAGTTTTAAAAAATGTGTGCATTGGTTCTATAGAGTGTAACAAGCAGATCGTGAGCTAGCAAGCAAAAATTTACCACGGACACTCAGTCCTGACACCAGCAGTCATCAGGAGTGTCTTGTATTTTCCTCATACATCCAAGCAACTGGAGTTAATAATAAATCAGAAATGTAGTTACTGTGGCATTCTATAGTAACATTACAGTATTGTCCCATATTTAAAAAATATTAGCATATCACATGACCAATGTTAATATAAATAAACAGATGCATTACAAAAAGCCATCATTAAAATACAATGTATTTTGCATGCAACTGATGGATTTACCTGCTCTGAGATGCCCCACCACATCAGCCAAGCTACCTTTCTTCACTTTGGTAATGAAGGCACCGAGTCGTCCTAATTCTGTCATTTTTCCTCCAACAACCTGGTTAATCATAAATTTGTGAGTTTCTAAACCACAAACCAGACATCATATCAAGTATAAATATACAGACAGATCAGTTTTCACATTATTTTAAAAATGAAACATAAAATAGGCATCAGCAAATCTATTGTCAAGTTGGGCTTTACAGAGGTTTAAAGACAAAGTTGAAGATACAAAAAGGCCAGATCTACCTGAAAAGACGTAAAGCTGACACCGAATTAATAAAATTGATATTCCTTTTAATGTGTTTGACTAGTCAACCTTATGCAGTATGATAAGTCTCTAAATCTGTTGCTGAAAGAATGTTTCATAATACATAACTAAGAAAATGCACTTTTTGCAAATAGATGTCTGTCACGTTCTTACGGTTAAACTGCAAGTGCACATCAAACTAAACCTATGAAAATCCCAAAATCCAATTGGTACAACAATTAAAAAAACTTAGCAAATACACTACTAGGAAACACGAGCAAACAGTCCTCAAGAACATTGCTACTGCTAAAACCCAAGCCCTCTCATCCAAACACATGATAGGACAAAACAGCAGTTTCCGGCTTTTGTTAAACAGAACTGAAGAGAGCTACTTTTGAAGATGACTGCATGATATAAGAGATCAGGAAAATCAGGGAAAAAAAAAAAAAGGGGGTGCACCCTCAAGAGATTAGATTTGTAATAAAGTATAAACCAAGAAAATACAGTTTTAGTCTCTCCAGTTGTTTGTTTGTTTTCTCTTTTGTCAGGAATATCCTGGGAGGAGTTTTCTAATAAAATGAAATAGTGGAACACTGGTTCATTAGTTATGATTTCCCCATGTCGCAATCACAAGTAGTAGGAGCTTTAATACAGATATATATATCCAAGAAGATCCAGAAGCCTACCTGTCAACAAGGTTCTCACAAGAGAATGTGTCAAATTTATCAATGGGGGCCTTAGTTCACATCGTACAAAAATTAAATTGAAAAATTGAAGAGAAGCTCTCCATTCTACATTTCCTATTAGGACAAACCTTTTTTTGCACGTATATATATAAAAAAAAAATGCTGCCAGAAAAAATCAGCCTTGTGCTACAGACTACTAGGTATTTAGTAGAGTGAAGTTGTTCTCATCTTCTGTATTCCCACACCACGCTGTCTCTCTTCAAAGTGGATAAATGGCTCTTACCCAGGACATGTCATTACCAAGTTCACAAGGTTCTTTCTTGAGTTAATTCTCACCATGAGGAGCAGAACCAACAGCCCCCATCTCCGTCACATGCAAGGGACTGAACTATCGGACAACTATATGCAAGGAGCCGTTCAGTGCCAGTGTCCTTTGAAGGAGACTCATTCCTAAGTGCATGGGAATGTTTCCTGTTTTGCATTGTTTCTGTTCTGCTCAGTGGTGAGAGGAAGACACACAAATTAAATTCTCTCAGTCATCTTTGGTCCTCTATATAATTAAAAATATATATGGAGAAGGAAATTCTTTAACTGGCAAACTTTACTCCCCACCAGCTTCAGAAATAGCACTCTCTCCAAGTGTTCCAGCAATTTAGAGACATGACTCTAAGAGTCTGCTACAAATGACTAATTTAGGGATTTAAATCAACTGGAAAGTGTTGCCAATGTCTTCATTTTTGGGCAGCAGATTAACTGGAACTACATTTAATAACATCTCTTTTATAACATGCTTTAAATCTGTTTAATAACATGCTTTAAAAGATTTTTTTACAAATTTTTGTGCAAATGTTTAGTTTCATTCCACAAAATTTGTGTTTCTGAGTGGCTGTGTGAATTTTAAACACTAACCTTGCAAACATTTGCATCCCAAGGACATTTATGTACGTGGATTATGAGATTAATTACTTGACTGAAATGAAAACAGTAGAGGTAGAAAAGGCAGGACTCCATTAGTGCACTGCAAGGTGCGGTGTATCTGGCAGACAGGATGCTGAATAAACATACACTTTTTAATCAGAACGGTTCAGCTCTTTGACATGGATGAGGGGAAGACTGCATAGAAGGATTAAATAACTTTTAATTCCTAATTTATCTGTATAACAATACTTTTTTTCAAAAACATTTTTGTCAAATGGCCATATACTTTGGTGGGTCCTCTGATTTAATGTGTTAGACCTCTAGGTCTAAGGTCAGTGGAAGTTTCTTTCATTTACCACACAAACCATGTAATACTTACTTTCAGCCCCAATAATGCACCTGATTCTTTTGGCATGGTTGTTCTCTTGTTAAGAACAACACGCCCAATTAAGCGATCTCCCTCTTTAGAAGGCTGCCACGTTACTGGATGCTGTTAAAAAAACCAAGAAGTGGACTTAAAGAAGTGCAACTATCTTCCTGCACATAGATGCATGTTTATAAACCAATAAAATTTCTGGATCATTATGTCATGGTAGAAACAAACATCTTTTAGATGTGTTACATATTGCACTCAAGCTTGCTATTATTGTATCTGTTGGATTCTGGCTTCATTAAATATTTATGCCCACTGTAAAAAAAATCTCAGCACTAAGTCTGCAGGTAGAATTACAATACAATTCAAAGTACAATATAATTAAACATTTAAAACCTTAGATAATGAAATTAAACATTTACTTTTAAATTCCATGACCCTGAAAAGTGCATTCATAAATTCTCTTATTTAGAACAATATACATGTTATACAACTACGATATGGGTTCACTATACAATAAAAATCTAAATGATGCTTTCCCACTCCAAGTCAATCCCCAAGACCCCAATAAAAAGACACTAATCTCTCCCAGAGCAGCATCACACTCACAGCTGCTTTTGCGGTGTGTAGCGAAATCTAGTATCATGTCTACAAAAGAATTAAATTCAAGTTAAAATTAAGGCAATTTTACTAGCATACATTTTAATTTAAATTTCTTTCTGATTTCAGTTTCCATAATCCACTAAACCAAATTTTCATATATAATTTGTACAGAATCATATTTTCAACAAAACATCTATGCTGAACTGAAATAATCAGCAAACAATTTAGTTCATACTTAGGAATCTTTTTTTCCCCATTTCTTACCGAACTAATAGGGGATGTCTCCCTGCTGTGCCACGTGGCAGGATCCAGCCAGTAATAATCCAAGTCACCTGGAAGAATACGAATAGAAAGAAATGTGTAATCTCTCAAACAGAGAACGATGTATGAATGATTACTTCTGTATACATGAATTTAATATGCAAGAGTTTGATAAAGCAAATACAAAACCTGTATTATCATTCAAATTAACTTACAGCAAACTGAAAACAATGTGGCCTAATAACATAAGCCCAAAAATACATAATAATGCATTTCTTTCAAACTCTGCTTTTTCACATCTTTATC